CACGAAAAACCCTTCAAAAAATCAATAAATCCAAGAGCTGGTTTTTCGAAAAGATCAACAAAATGGACAGACCACTAGCCAGATTGATTAAAAAGAAAAGAGAGAACAACCAAATAGATGCAATAAAAAATGATAAAGGGGAAATCACCACAGATTCCACAGAAATTCAAACCATCATCAGAGAATATTACAAACAACTCTATGCGCATAAACTAGTAAACCTGGAAGAAATGGATAAATTCCTGGACTCCTGTGTCCTCCCAAGCCTAAACCAGGAGGAAGCTGAAACTATGAATAGACCAATAACAAGGTCTGAAGTTGAGGCAGCAATTAAGAGCCTACCACACAAAAAAAGCCCAGGTCCAGACGGGTTCACAGCCGAATTCTACCAGACAGACAAGGAGGAGCTGGTACCATTCCTTCTAAAACTATTTCAAACAATCCAAAAAGAGGGAATCCTTCCCAAATCATTTTATGAGACCAACATCATGCTGATACCAAAACCCGGCAGAGACCCAACGAGAAAACAAAACTTCAGGCCAATATCCATGATGAACATAGATGCAAAAATCTTCGATAAAATATTGGCAAGCCGATTGCAACAGCAAATCAGAAAACTTATTCATCATGATCAGGTAGGATTCATCCCGGGGATGCAAGGCTGGTTCAACATACGCAAGTCTATCAACGTAATTCACCACATAAACAGAACCAAAAACAAAAACTACATGATTATCTCAATTGATGCAGAGAAGGCCTTTGACAAAATTCAACAGCGCTTTATGCTAAAAACCCTCAATAAACTCCGTATCGATGGCACGTATCTCAAAGTAATAAAAGCTATTTATGACAAACCAACAGCCAATATCATACTGAATGGGCAAAAACTGGAAGCATTCCCTTTGAAATCTGGCACTAGACAAGGATGCCCTCTTTCACCACTCCTATTCAATATACTACTGGAAGTTCTAGCCAGAGCAATCAGGCAAGAAAAAGAAATAAAGGGTATTCAAATAGGAAAGGTGGAAGCCAAATTGTCTCTATTTGCAGACGACATGATAGTATACCTAGAAGACCCCATCGCCTCAGCCCAAAAACTCCTGAAACTGATAAGCAACTTCAGCAAAGTCTCAGGATATAAAATCAATGTGCAAAAATCACAAGCATTCGTCTACACCAATAACAGACTTAAAGAAAGCCAAATCAAGAACGAACTGCCATTCACAATTGCTACAAAAAGAATAAAATACCTTGGAATATAACTCACAAGGAACGTAAGGGACCTCTTCAAGGAGAACTACAAACCACTGCTCAACGAAATCAGAGAGGACACAAACAGATGGAGAAACATTCCATGTTCATGGTTAGGAAGAATTAATATTGTAAAAATGGCTATACTGCCCAAAGTAATTTACAGAACCAACGCTATCCCCATCAAGCTACCATTGACTTTCTTCACAGAACTGGAAAAAACCACCATGAACTTCATATGGAACCAAAAGAGAGCCCGCATAGCCAAGTCAATTCTAAGCAAAAAGAACACAGCAGGGGCATCACACTACCGGATTTCAAACTATACTACAAGGCTACGGTAATCAAAGCAGCATGGTACTGGTACCAAAACAGAGATATAGACCAATGGAACAAAACAGAGGCACCGGAGGCAACACAACATACATACAACTATACAATCTTTGATAAACCTGACAAAAACAAGCAATGGGGAAAGGACTCCATGTTTAACAAATGGTGTTGGGAAAACTGGCTAGCCATGTGCAGAAAGCAGAAACTGGACCCCTTCCTGACACCATACACTAAAATTAACTCCAGATGGATTAAAGACTTAAACATAAGACCTGGCACCATAAAAACCCTAGAAGGAAATCTAGGCAAAACTATCCAGGACATAGGAGTAGGCAAGGACTTCATGAACAAAACACCAAAAGCATTGGCAACAAAAGCCAAAATAGACAAATGGGACCTAATCAAACTCCACAGCTTCTGCACGGCAAAAGAAACAGTCACTAGAGTGGATCGGCAACCAACAGAATGGGAAAAAATTTTCGCAGTCTACCCATCTGACAAAGGGCTGATATCCAGAATTTACAAAGAACTCAAACAGATTTACAGGAAAAAACAAACAAGCCCATTCAAAAGTGGGCAAAGGATATGAACAGACACTTTACGAAAGAAGACATATATGAGGCCAACAATCATATGAAAAAATGCTCATCATCACTGGTCATCAGAGAGATGCAAATCAAAACCACATTGAGATACCATCTCACGCCAGTTAGAATGGCGATCATTAAAAAATCTGGAGACAACAGATGCTGGAGAGGATTTGGAGAAAAAGGAACACTTTTACACTGTTGGTGGGAGTGTAAATTAGTTCAACCATTGTGGAAGACAGTGTGGCGATTCCTCAAGGCTTTAGAAATAGAAATTCCATTTGACCCAGCAATCCCATTACTGGGTATATATCCAAAAGACTATAAATCGTTCTACTATAAGGACACATGTACACGAATGTTCATTGCAGCACTGTTTACAATAGCAAAGACCTGGAATCAACCCAAATGCCCACTGATAATAGACTGGATTGGAAAAATGTGGCACATATACACCATGGAATATTATGCAGCAATCAGAAATGATGAGTTTGTGTCGTTTGTAGGGACATGGATGAATCTGGAGAACATCATCCTCAGCAAACTGACACAAGAACAGAAAATGAAACACCACATATTCTCACTCATAGGTGGGTGATGAAAAATGAGAACACATGGACACAGATAGGGGAGTACTAAACACTGGGGTCTATTGGGGGGAAAAGGAGAGGGCCAGTGGGAGGGGGAGGTGGGGAGGGATAGCCTGGGGAGAAATGCCAAATGTGGGTGAAGGGGAGAAGAAAAGCAAAGCACACTGCCATGTGTGTACCTACGCAACTGTCTTGCATGCTCTGCTCATGTACCCCAAAACCTAAAATCCAATAAAAAATTAAAAAAAAAATGGGCAAATGATTTGAATAGACATTTCTTCAAAGATGACATACAAATGGTCAATAAGCTCATGAAAAGACATTCATCATCTTCAGTCATCAGAAATGCAAGTCAAAACCACAAGGAGACACCACACCCAAGAAAATGGCTCTGATCAGAAAGAGGTCATGCCAAATGTTGGCACGGATGTGGAGGAAAAGGAATCCTCATTCACTGCTGGTGGGAATAGAAAATGATACTTTCATTTTGGAAAAAGTCTAGCAGTTTCTCAAATGGTTACATAGTGTTATGTGACCTAATTATGTCTCTCCTAGGTAGATACTAAAGAAATGAAAGCATGTCTGTGCAACCACCTGTACACACATGTTTATAGCACCATATTCATAACGGTAAAAAGAAACAACCCAAATTTCCACCAACTAATGAATGGTACACAAAATGTGTTATCCATACAATGGAATGTTATTCGGCCAAACTAAGAAATGAGGTGATGGAACAGGCTTCAGCAGATTCCCTTGAAGCATGACGCTAGATGAAGAAGGCAGAGCCAAAAGGCTGCAGAGGGATTCCATTTATAGGAAATGCCCAGAGTAGGCAAATCTATAAGACAAATTAGACTAGTGATTGCCAGGAGCTGGAGCATAGTAGGGAATGGGGAGTGACCACTAATGAGACAGTGTTTCTTTTTGAAGTGATGGTGGCACAACTTTGTTAATATACTATAACCCACTATTGAATCCTATGCTTTCAATGTGTGGATTTTATGGTGTGTAAATCTTGATCAAGTATTTTGTTTTTGTTTTTGAGACTGAGTCTTGCTCTGTCTCCCAGGCTGGAGTGTAGTAGCGCAATCTTGGCTCACCTGTAACCTCCACCTCCTGGGTTCAAGCAATTCTCCTACCTCAGCCTCCCAAGTAGCTGGGATTACAAGTGTACATTGCCACACCTGGCTAATTTTGTGTATTTTAGTAGAAACAGGGTTTCACCATGTTATTCAGGCTGGTCTCGAACTTCTGAGCTCAGGCAGTCTACCCACCTCAGCCTCCCAAAGTGCTAGGATTACAGGCATGAGCCACCACACCTGGCTGATCAAGTGTTTCTTTAAAAACTGTGGGGTGGATCATGGAGGCTTCCATAGGTACTGATTGCAGCCAACAGCCCAAAGCCTTTAGTCAGGCATCTGCAGACAATGAAAAGCAGAGCTGCAGGTTGAAGGCTCAGAGTAATGGACGGAGCCCTATAATGAGTAAAAACGGGTGCTTGCAGGGCCCGAGTGGTCACCAGAAAGGAGAAAGCAGAGTTGGTGCCTTCACACATCCACCTCATGCCTTATTCTGAAGTTTGAGTGGAAAATATGTGTTGACACATAAGCTCGCTATGATTTTAAGGGCATTGGCTGTGGTCTTGAAAAGTCATGCAGAAACCTATTACCTTAAGTGTTGAGTGTAAGGATCTTCATGATGAAATTTCTGAAAATGGTCCAGTCTCGGCTTCAGTGCCTGAGGCTCAAGAAGGATCCTCTAGTAGCCACGTTGTAGCAGATGCCCCGAGTCAGTGACAGATGCAGTAAAGTTCTTCCTCAAATAAAGCATACTCTGTCTCCCTGTTCTTTTATTTATTTATTTATTCTTGAGACAGAGTCTCGCTCTGTAGCACAGGCTGGAGTGCAGTGGCGCCACCTCGGCTAATTGCAACCTCCACCTCCTGGGTCCTGGTTCAAGCAATTCTCCTGCCTCAGCCTCCCAAGTAGCTACGATTGCAGGCATTTGCCACCATGTCCAGCTAATTTTTGTATTTTTAATAGACACGGGGTTCCACCATGTTGGCCAGGCTGGTCTTGAACTCCTGACCTCTTGATCTGCCCGCCTCTGCCTCTCAAAGTGCTGGGATTACAAGTGTGAGCCACTGAGCCCAGCCTCCCTCTTCCTTTATTTTTAACAGGCCTAAATCACTGATTCCTGATCTGTCAGGGCATGCCTAGATATGCCCAGGCATGTCTTAGCTTGTAGCATATAATCTTTTCCTTATTTTGACATGTTACTGCTTTCCTAGCCTTTTTAAAAGCCATGCAAGCCGCTTCCTCCCTTCCTTTGTTCTCCATTGCTTTTACCTATTTAAGCTTTTAGCCAGATCGGGTGTAGCTTAGACTGTGCAGTCCAGCTCCAGCCGATGGAGACTGGACACAGTAGTAGAAACCTCATATGTTAGGGATAGAAAGCCCTCCTCTCCTTTGTTCGGTGTGTTCTCGTGGCAACCAGGCTCACAAGCAGCAGAAGTAAAAATTGCCTTGATGAGAACTTCTTTGTTCAAGTGTTCATTTTCTTCGTGACTCTGAACTTTTACTTCTAACAATTCTGGGGGCTCATCCAGGATATACCATTCTCCTTCAGGGAAGGGGTCTTTGGTCACCTCCCAGGGAAGGTGCACCCCACTGCCTTGTTGCAGTGGCCTCAAGATGGGAGACTGAGATCCACCCATTGTGATGAATAAAAACGTGGGGAAGGGAAAGGCTTGCAACACCGCAGCAACCAGGTAACTCTGTGAACAGATGAAGGTAAGAAACGTCACAAGGGCAACAAAGTGTTTCTTTAGTGGTCAGGATTCTAGAGGTTGAATGTGTGTGTGACAGCACTGCCTTTGTGGCTGGTGATAAGCCCTACTGCTAGATGGAGTGAGTCGGTCCTCTCTGCAGTTCTGCAATCACCTCACAGCACTGACACGCCACTGCTAAGAGGGGCCTAAATCTTCTCTGGGGGAGCAGCCAGAGAGGACAAAAGGAAAGGAAAAGAGTGTAAGAGACCTCCGGGGGTGGGGGGACAGTTAAAAACCCTCCCCCAGGAAAAGAAGGGCAAGAAACTCCTCAAGCATATGATGTCGAATCTTAAGTCTCTAGAAAAGGGATAGGCAAGAAATCTCTGGGTCAAGAGGGTTGAGCCTAACTGGTACCCAGTATGGGAAATGTTTCTAGTAAAACACGACGGGAAAGAATACAGATGATCAAATTCCTTCTGATTGTCCTTTAGGACTTATGTTAAAGTACTGGACAGATAATGAAAGGACTAAACGGAAGAAAAAGCAGCAAATGAGCCGGGCGCGGTGGCTCATGCCTGTAATCCCAACACTTTGGGAGGCCAAGGCGGGTGGATCATGAGGTCAAGAGATCGAGACCATCCTGGTCAACAAAGTGAAACCCGTCTCTACTAAAAATACAAAAAATTAGCTGGGCATGGTAGCATGTGCCTGTAGTCCCAGCTACTCGAGAGGCTGAGGCAGGAGAATTGCCTGAGCCCAGGAGGCGGAGGTTGCGGTGAGCCAAGATCGTGCCATTGCACTCCAGCCTGGGTAACAAGAGTGAAACTTCGTCTCAAAAAAAAGAAAAAGCAGCAAATGATAAAATATTGCTGCTGCATTTGGACTAAAAAGAGTCAATCAATCCTCAAGCCCACTGTTTCCTGGCCAAAGTCTGGGCCAGGTGAGGATTGGGTTTGTCAACTTTTAATAATATATGCTAATAACAAAAGTCCTATCTCACAAGAAGAAATAAACTACGCCCTATGCTGGTGGCAGGGGCCTGTTCTTCTCTACCCTTTAAGATGGTGGGAAAGGAACTAGAGAGTGGGAAGGAATCAGAGACCGTCCCGTTCTAGAAGAGTGAAGTCTCTACTTCTAAGGCATCTATAAGCAAATGGGATCCTTTAGATCACCTTTCCCCATTCCTTAATCCTAACCCACCTCCTTCTCCCCCAACAGTTGCTGCCACTTCTGACCCAGTTCTGGACTCTCCTATCCAGGTTATTCCTCCCCAGTACAACCTGGACTCTTAGGAGCTATTGCCCAAGGAGCCTGTGCATTGCCAGCCTGAGTATCCCTTTTTTTTTTTTTGAGACGGAGTTTTGCTGTTGTTACCCAGGCTGGAGTGCAATGGCATGATCTCGGCTCACCTCAACCTTTGCCTTCTGGGTTCAGGCAGTTCTCCTGCCTCAGCCTCCTGAGTAGCTGGGATTACAGGCACGCGCCACCATGCCCAGCTAATTTTGTATTTTTAGTAGAGATGGTGTGTCACCTCGTTGACTGGGATGGTCTCGATCTCTTGACCTCATGATCCACCCGCCTTGGCCTCCCAAAGTGCTGGGATTACAGGCATGAGCCACTGCGCCTGGCCAGGACCTATGAAATTCTTAGAAAGACTAAGGGAGCAAATGAGAAAACATGCAGATTTAGACCCAGAAGACCTCCTTGGGCAAGGAATGTTAAATCTGCACTTTGTTACTAACAGCCAGAGATTGCACAAAAAGTTACAGAAGCTGGAAAATTGGAAGAATTGGACTACAGAGGAGCTCCTGAGGGGAGCCCAAAAGGTATATGTAAGGAGAGATGAACAATGGCAGAGACAAAAAGCAAAAATCTGGGCCAGGCGCGGTGGCTCACGCCTGTAATCCCAGCACTTTGGGAGGCCGAGGCGGGTGGATCACCTGAAGTCAGGAGTTCAAGACCAGCCTGACCAACATGGTGAAACTCTGTCTCAGCAAAAATGTTTTGGCAGAGTTTTCCAGGACAGATACTAGGGGCTAAGTTTAGACCCCTGCCTGCTACGTTCTCCAAATGATTGCGAAAAGGAGGTCAGGAAATCCAGAAATACAGAAAGAAAGCAAGCAACGTCGGTACTCTAAGGGAGAAGGTCAAAGTAAGCGTAAATGCTGTAAGTGCAAGGAAGTGAAAAAATAGGACCCTGGACTTGGGAGAGATGGAGGACAAAACAGATGTTACAAATGTGGAAGGACAGGTCGTTTCAAAACAGAACGTCCTGGGTTAGAAAAGGCAGAAGCCCTTCCGCTCAGGACTTTTGAGGAGGAATAGGGAGATCAGGGGCTCTGTCTCTTTTATCTCAAGTCGCACCAGGAGCCCTTGATAAATTTAGAGGTGGGACCTGAACATGAACTTACCGTCTTTTTAATTGACCCAGGAGTGGCCCTGTCATCTGTTTGTTTCTCCCCAGCTGATCTAACCTGTTCTTCAGAAGAATTGTTAGTCTCCGAAGTAAAAGGAGAAGAATTTAAGACAAAGTTTTAGAAAATACAGAAGTAGGGCCAGGGACGGTGGCTCATGCCTGTAATCCTAGCACTTTGGGAGGCCGAGGCAGGCGGATCACCAGGTCAGGAGTTTGAGACCAGCCTGGCCAATATGGTGAAACCCCATCTCTACTAAAAATACAAAAATTAGCTGGGTGTGGTGGTGCGTGCCTGTAATCCCAGCTACTCAGGAGGCTGAGGCAGGAGAATGGCTTGTACCCAGGAGGTGGAGGTTGCGGTGAGCCAAGATCACACCACTGCACTCCAGCTTGAGTGACAGAGCAAGATTCCATCTCAAAAAAAAGAAAAAAGAAAAAGAAAAAGAAGAAGAAAATACCCAAGTAAAATACCAGAACCAATCAACTTGTATCCAACTTTTGTTAATTCCTGAAGCAGGGACCAATCTACTAGGAAGGGATTTAAAACATTCATCCTGATTTTTGGTCAAGGGAAGGAAACCTGGGGAAGCTTCTAATTCCTCCAATACACGTCAAGTTAAAAACTCCTGGGGAGGTAGTAAGGAGGAAGCAATACCCCACTCGTTTAGAAGGAAGTATAGGGTTCTGTAATTGAGAGTCTCATTACGAATGGGCTCCCTGAAGCCTGTTTGTCCCCTTATAACACTCCAATTTTGCCAGTTAAGAAATCAGATGGGTCATACCAACTAGTGCAGGACCTCAGAGCAAATAGTCCAGACCACTCAGCCTGTTGTACCCAACCGTTATACCATTCTTAGTAAAATTCCATACACTCACCAATTGTTTACAGTAATAGGTTTAAAAGATGCTTTTTAGGCATGTCCCTTAGCTGAGGACAGCCGGGACATATTTGCTTTTGAATGGAAGATCCCCATTCAGGATGGAAGCAGCAATATAGATGAACAGTCTTGTCCCAAGGATTTACAGACTCACCTAACCCTTTTTGTCAGATTTTAGAACAAGCATTAGAAGAAGTTGTCCCAAAACAGCTATGTTTTCTTCAGTATGTTGATGATATTCTCATATATGGGGAAGATGTAGAAAAAGCATCTGGGTTTTCTACACATGTTCTTAATAACCTACAGTTTGAGGGGTTATGAGTCTTAAAGGGGAAGCTTCAATATGTGGAGTCTGAAGTTAAATATTTAGGCCATTTAATACGTGTGGGAAAGTGAAGAATCAGGCCCAAATGGGTTGAAGGAATTATATCTTTACCTTTGCCCCAAACTAAACAGGAACTTAGGAAATTTTTAAGGTTAGTTGGATATTGCCACTTATGGATTGATTCATATGCACTAAAAAGTAAATTACTATATGAAAAAGTTGCCCACTGTAAGCCTGACCATCTAATATGGACTTCAGAAGAGGTTGATTAGGTTGAAGAATTAAAAGAAGAACCTATAACCACCCCTGTCCTGGCCCTACCTTCTCTGGAAAAGCCATTCCACCTTTTTGTTAATGTAAAGGACGGGCTGGCTCTAGGAGTACTAACCCAGGAACACGGAGGCTGCCGACCTTTCTATCAAAGGTTTTAGATCCAGTCGCCTGTGGGTGGCCTCAGTGCATCCAATCCGTTGTGGCTACTGCAGTATTAGATGAAGAGAGTAGGAAGTTAACTTTTGGGGGGAAGCAAACAGTAAGTACACCCACCAAGTTAGAGCAATCCTAAATCAAAAAGCAGGAAGGTGCCAGACACGGTGGCTCACGCCCATAATCCCAGCACTTTGGGAGGCCAAGGCAGGTGGACCATGAGGTCAGGAGTTTGAGGCCAGCCTGGCCAAGATGGTGAAACCCTGTCTCTACTAAAACATGAAAAACAAATTAGCCAGGCATGGTGGCATGCGCCTATAATCCCAGCTACTCAGGAGGCTGAGGCAGGAGAATTGCTTGAACCCAGGAGGCGGAGTTTGCAGTGAGCTGAGATCACGCCACTGCACTCTAGCTTGGGCAACAGAGCAAGACTCCATCTCAAAAAATAAAAAAGGCAGGAAGGTGGCTTACTGACTCCAGAATTCTGAAGTTTGAGGCTATACTATTAGAAAAGGATGAATTGACATTAACCACTGATAACTCTCTCAACCCAACAGGTTTCTTAACAGGAAATCCACTTCTGAAAAGGGAACGCCTATGTCTTGATTTAATTGACTGTCATACAAAGGTCCAGCCAGATTTAGTTAGAGACCGCCTTCAAAACAAGGTGACATTTATGTTTTGAGGTGACACTTATCATTTTACTCATTAGATAGAGGCTATCCCTTTTCTTTTCTTTTTTTTTTTTTAGATGGAATCTCACTCTGTGCAATCTCAGCTCACTGCAACCTCCACCTCCCGGATTCAAACTATTCTTCTGCCTCAGCTTCCCAAGTAGCTGGAGTGCAGTGGTGTGCCCAGGCTGGAGTGTAGTGGTGCGAGCTTGACTCACTGCAGCCTCCACCTCCTGAATTCAAGCAATTCTCCTGTCTCAGCCTCCCAAATAGCTGGGACTGCAGGTGTACGCCACCATGCCCAGCTGGGTAGCTGGGATTACAAATACACACCACCACATCTGGCTAATTTTTGTATTTTTAGTAGGGACAGAGTTTTGCCAGGTTGTGCAGGGTGGTCTCAAACTCCTGACCTCAAGTGATCCACCTGCTTTGGCCTCCCAAAGTGCTGGGATTACAGGTGCGAGCCACCATGCCCAGCCAGATACCATCACAATTTTTTAAATCATGTGTTGTAAGAGTTTAAAGTATTTTAAATTTAACCGTGCTAATGTTTAACATGTATCTCACATTTTGTTCTCAAGCTGTATCACTGCTCATATTAGTTAAATAACAACAGTGAATCCAAACCACTAAGCTGATGAGAGCCCATCCCAGGAGAAGAGGGCGGTTAGAGGAGAAACTTCCTAGAGCCTCTCTTGGGACTGTTGAGCCTACTTGGGAAATTTATTATTTCTGTTGTTGTTGTTGTTGAGACAGTGTCTCACTCTGTCGCCCAGGCTGGAGTGCAGTGGCATAATCTTGGCTCATTGCAACCTCTGCCTCCCGGGTTCAAGCGATTCTCATGCCTCAGCCTCCCAAGTATCTGGGATTACAGGCACCTGTCACTGCACCCAGCTAATTTTTGTAGTTTTTAGTAGAGACAGGGGGCAGGCTGGTCTTGAACTCCTGACCTCGTGATCCACCTGTCTCAGCCTCCCAAAGTGCTGGGATTACAGGCATGAGCCGCTGTGCCTGGCTGGCCTTTTTTTTTTAGATGGAGTCTTGCTTTGTCCCCCAGGCTGGAGTGCAGTGGCGTGATCTTGGCTCACTGCAACCTCCACCTCCTGGGTTCAAGCAATTCTCCTGCCTCAGCCTCCTGAGTAGCTGGGATTATAGGCACATGCCACCATGACTGGCTAATTTTTATATTTTTAGTAGAGACAAGGGTTAACAATGTTGGTCAGGCTAGTCTCGAACTCCTGACCTCATGATTTGCCTGCCTTGGCCTCCAAAAGTGCTGGGATTACAGGTGCTATTATTTTCTTTTATTCTTTTAAAGTTTCTCTCTAGGAGGCGGCAAGACAATCTTGCAGGCACAAAGAGGCTTCAGGTGACACACACACTACACAGCCCCCTCCCCAGCCCTCATCTTCAATGAACCCCCACCTTCTAGCATCACTCGCCTCAGGTGTTGGAGCAGAAGCTGGCCTGCAGTTCTAGGGTCACCTGGGCATGCCTGCCTGCCACTGGCACAGCAATATTTGTGGCCCAAGGATCTTCTATACCCATGGTGGGGGCAGCAGGGCAGAAAACAGCCTCCACTTTTGAGGAAGATTTTAGCACCAAATTTGCTCAGACCCACTTCCCTCAAGGGACATCTCACTCTAGCTTAAGGTCTTTTCAGAAAGGCTAACTGGGGTGGGTGTGGTGACTCACCTATAATCCCAATAATTTGGGAGGCTGAGGCAGGAAGATCACCTGAGCCCGGGTGTTCAAGACCAGACTGGACATGAGACCCTCATCTCCACAAAAAAAATTAAAAATTAGCCAGGTGTGGTGGCTTGCACCTGTAGTCCCAGCTGCTTAGGAGGCTGAAGCAGGAGAATCTCTTGACTCTGGGAGGTGGAGGCTGCAGTGAGCCACGATCGTGCCACTGCACTCCAGCCTGGGCAACAGAGTGAAACCCAGTCTCAGAAAAAAGAAAGGCTAACTGGTATCTGAAACTTTTTGTGAGATTCAATTTCCCTCTGCTGCTAAGATAAAAATAATTAAGAAGTATTAAATATATGAAATAATTTCACATTTTTTTTTCAGATGGAGTTTCACTCTTGTTGCCCAGACTGGAGTGCAATGGCACGATCTCCACTCATCACATGCACCACCACGCCTGGCTGAGACAGGTTTCTCCATGTTGGACAGGCTGTTCTCAAACTCCTGACCTCAAGTGATCTGCCCACCTTGGCCTCCCAAAGTGCTGGGATTACAGGCGTGAGTCACCACTCCTGACAATTCCACATTTCTTAAAACATTCCTGTTGACAGCTTGGGCAGGTTACTTTGTATGCATTCACCCACGGATGCCACTGGAGCCCCTTCCCACCTGCGCTGGGTGTGGGGCAGGTCCCCAGGTGGCAGGGTGCATGCCACACAAGTCAGGGCAACAGCAGGGGCTGAGCCTCGCTCCGACTCCTGGTCTAGAGAGAGCACCTGGACATTTTGAGAAATATTTTAACCTAGGAGGCACCCAATGTGAGAAACAAACTCACCTATCCAAAGCAAAGAATGGACTCAGAGACCTGGAGAACAGTGAAAGTGAGGCTTTTAATAACGATCAGGTGTCTGATGAGCAGGCACACCCAGCAGTTTCAGCAATTTATCCCCTAAGTGTGCAGGCCCCTCCTTCCTTTTAGGCTGAGTACTGTGGCATTAGTCTTCTCAGACGTTGCTTGTTGTTAGGTAGGGACTTTAGGTGTTTTTTTTTTTTTGGTTGTTTTGCTGCATTTTGTTGCATTGAAATCTTAGCTAAGGGGCTCTTCAAGTATTTGACAACACCTGAGTAGCCAGGCCGGCTGTTAAGGACAGACAAAGCGAGCTATTTTGCAGGCTAGTAATTCATTTTAGACTAAATAAACTCTTTTGGTTCAGGTGAAGGCAACTAAGGAAAGTGGAAAGGGACGCAGGGAGAAGCCGACAAGCAGGCATCAGCTATCCTGAGGGTAGGCCTAGTACATCGTTTGTTCCATAGTTTGCTGACCTAAGAGGGTTCAAGGCAGTTTGTCTTGGAAATGGACTACTGTGTACATTATTTTCTTCACCCGAGGAACATCTTAAAGTTTTACTCCTTTTTGAGTCTCCTGTTCTTTGACTAACAGTTTGTAAATAGCTGTATACCGCCCCCCAAAAAAAGTTGTATTTAATAAAGAGTAGCCCCAATTTGAATGACATAGCAGCAGGCTAAGGCAAAGAAACGCAGCGCTCACATCCCAGAATAAGAACATGTTTATTGAGATGTGCCAGAAGTCCAGGGCCTCATGGCTTTGCATTCAGGAGATGCTTTCTAAGTTCTCCCATTTTTGTTTCAGAACATACACTGTGGGAATTCACAAACTAAAACAATTTCTGGTGACTTCCAATCTGTATATTATACTTCCCAGCTTCAATTGAATTTTTTAAAAAATTAACTTCAGGCTGACTAGCCTAACATTGTGAGTCAAAGGTAACTTTACTTTTGTTGTTGTTGTTGAAGGGTAACTTTAAAAAGGAAAAACACAGCACTGAAGGGTCTCTGGGTGGTAGTGTCAGCATGAGCCGGGAGGTGAGACCACACACACAGCCAGCAGACCTCAGGATGGAACCTGGGGCGCATCAGATAGAAATATGACAAGACAGTGAGGTCACAAATTCAGATGTCATTGGAGCTATCTATATATGACATACACATTATAAACAAATAACCTAAAACATTTCACAATGTACAACACCTGTTCTACTTGTGAATGCAAACCCTGAGCTGCAAATAAGAGCACAGATATGGGAGACATCACAGCCTGAAACTGCTCTCCTCTTCCCTCCTCTCCTCTCCTCTGGTCCCGTGACGGGTTATGCTGAGCCAACAATGTGCACACCCTAAGTCCACAGGTGTTAAAGGTAAGGTCAACTTCTAAACACACAACAAAATTACTTTAAACATAAGGATATTAAGTTAAAAGCTTGATTAGCGTGGTGACTCATGCCTATAATCTCAGCACTTTGGGAGGCTGAGGTGGGTGGATCACTTGAGGTCAGGAGTTCAAGACCAGCCTGGCCAACATGGTGAAACCTCTTCTCTACTAAAATAAGGAAAAAAAAAAGAAAATTAGCCGGGCGTAGTGGCAGGTGCCTGTAATCCCAACTACTCAGGAGGCTGAGGCAGGAAAATCACTTGAACCTGGGAGGCAAAGGTTGCAGCGAGCCAAGGTTACGCCACTGCACTCCAGCCTGGGCCACAGAGCCAGACTCCATCTCAAAATAAATAAATAAATAAATAAATAAAAGCCCACTTTGGCAACAGAAACAGCTGCTGGCCGTTGGTCCTGACAGACCACTGCACTTACTACCCAAGGACAGGCCAGCTGCAGAGCTTGGCACTGTCATGCATACTGGTTATAAAGAGAAATTATGCACAGAAGCAAGGGAACAGCCAGCCTTTGGTGGCAATGATGCTCACAGGGTTGCACTGAAAACTGCCTGCCACCCCCACCGCACGCTCAGATCTTCCCTTCCTCCTGACTTCCCTACTCTGAAGAGAGACCCGACAGGGACAGACTGTGAGGGACAAGGAGACTGCTGGCCCCAGCCAATCCCCAGCATGCCACATGGAGAGAGGGAAGAACTCTCACGGAGACGCAAAAAGGGCCAAGTCTGGCAAAGCAGAGGTTTTCTAGAATCAGGGAAGGGAATGGGACCAACCTGGATGAGGCACTATGCCTTTTCTGTACTGTGGCAGAAGCTTCGATTCCAAACCAAGAAAAAGGCCACGCTCCCAAAAGCACCCCTGTGGCAGGTTGTGACTGAAGTTATTTTGGCAGAGGGGAAAAAAAAAAAAAGGTCTGGCCCAAAATAACAGATATTCCCTTCCCTAACCTTCTTTAGTTCAATTTAGTATTCTAATGGACAGGCGTTTAACAGTGTTTTTCTAGTGCTGAGGTCTCTGCACTAGACCTTTTGCTCCAGTGCTGTGTGAACAGCACTGGAGCAAAGGGAGGATACAGTCCCCTTCTTGATTAGGTCTCGTTTTGGCTGGAGGTGCAACAAGTTCTGTGCCATGAAAGTGATCTCCCAGCTTCAGTGACTTTTCTTCTTTTGTGGGAAAAAGATATACTTTGTAGGGTTAAACTCTTCCCAGATGCGCTCAAATTCTTCCAGAAAAAGCCGCACGTACTCGTTGTCCTCCATGATGAGCACGTTCTCCCTGTTGTTCTGGATGGCCTGTGTGGTCCAGTTGAGCGAGCCAGTGATGAGCACCCTCCTATCCACGATGGCGAACTTGTGATGCATGTAGCCCAGGTCTTGATCGTGCCGGACCTGGATACCTGCAGAAAGGACAAGGTGCTTTCATCCCATTCAGGAGTCCCGCCTCAAGTGTGGACTATTCCTGGGGGCAAATGGCTTTACTATTTATTTCAGTTTGCTGGGCCAGGAAAGCCCACCATGTTTCACAGAGTGGTGGTGGCTAAGCTCCCAGGAGGGATCCTGAGAACCACAGAGGGGGCATCACTCATGGGGCCAGAGCATCACACACAGGCCATGGGGAACTGGGCAGGCCGTGGTCTGGGTGAGACCACACCTCTGAGTCTATGCAGCATGTCCCTTAGGGGCTACTGATTGCTGCTGAGACTGTCACTAACCCAGTCAGAGGCAACTGGGGCAAAGACAGCATTGTGAGTCCCCTTGCCTTCAGATTCTGACTCTTTCACAGCTAAGGCTGAGACTGTACCCACTCTGCCCAGAGAGGCCCTGGAGTCTGGGAGCAGAGGCCACTTTGCCGGCACAACCTTGGCCACCAAGGGAGGAAGGGCCCTAACTAACTGACGCACAAACAAATTCTCCTCTTCCACACTCCCCTGCTTCCTTCACTAAAGAACCAGTGGCGCCTGCCTCCCCTCTTCCCAGCTTTCAAACTCCTGCAGGGAAGGGCCTGTCTCTGTCTCCCCTGGAATAACACTGCCTCACTCAGGATCTGCTCAAGGAATGAGGCCGTTGGAAATGGGGCTTAAAAGTTTTAAACAGGCTGCCACGCAACACAGTTGCCAGATTTTTCCACATCAAAAGACAGGACATCACATTAAATGGAGTTTCAGATAGTTATTTTTGAAGGGAAGTATGTGCCATGGAGTACTGGGATCGTATCCTAAAACTCACTCCCTGTGTGTGGAATTTACATTTAATTGTGCCTCCTGCATTGCGCCTGGTAGCTTCCTTACCTGGGGGATCCAACCCTTCTCCTCACACTCTGGCCACTCCACCAGCACACCCTGTCGGTGCTGCCATCCAAACACATTCCTCCAAATGGTGGGCAATCTAAAGCCCAATCTCCTGCCTCCACTGGGATCCACTGCCCCAACCCCCAGCCCCTCCCCGTGGCCTGCCACCTCTGGCCTCTCAGGGGAAGCCCGGCCTACTCCCACTCACCACTTCCCATGGTCTGCCACAGAGGACCCCTGCGGTTCGTCACAAGGAAGTCAGTCTGTGACCCAGGGCGTCAGGGCTGCTGCCCCTTCTAGCCGCATGCCTCTCCCTCCGGACAGCCCACTCGTGTCATCAAGGTCCCTGCCCTGAGTGTCACTGCCCCTGGGCAGCTGACCTGGCCCACACCACTTCCTCACACACGATTGCCTCCTCACCCTGCTTTATGAAGTTTTCCTGACCCTTCTTAGTACCCTAAGTGAAATATGCATGACTTAGCTGGTATCCCCATGGGAACCTGGCCTTGTGCCCTAGGGTGTCCCAGCTCCTCACAAATACTGGCACACAGGGGACATTACTTCTTTGAATAGGTGAATGCCACTGAACAGCCTCAAAGTCAGCAAGGACGCTGGGAGGCCATCACAGAGGGGATTGGATGGGACCTCGGTCTAGGGGTCCTTGAAGGTTCTTCACAAACCTCAGCTTCCACGACTCTAAAAGCAACTCAAACAGAACTGTGCTGTGCACGGCTGGAGGTCCCCACACCTCCCCCGTTAAAATGACCAACACTTGAGAGGACAGCTCTTGTGACTGACAAAAGAGAAAGGCGCAGCCTCAATATGAAAACCACTCGCCCCACTCTGCTCCCCCGGGGGCTGCAACACCCCCACACCACCCAGAGCAGAGAGGGAGGCTGGCTGACTCTGGAGAGGCTGCTCTGCGGCCCAAGTCAGCGAGGCCGTGGCTATGCAGAAGGAACAGTGCGTTGGTGGCCACTGCCCAACGTGGGCAGTTGCCAGGACTCCACGGTCTTTCAGTCACTGTGACCAGAATTACCAGATCCAACGGCTGCACGTCCAAGTATGACTTTCTGGGTACCTGAGTGATGGAGACAGAGAGAAGCCCAAGAGTCTGTGGGTGCAAATACACCAAAGGCAAGAGCAGGCTGGGCCACCGAACTGGGCCAGGATGGCCTGAGAATCCTCAGGCAGGGCAAGGATCCCAATTATTCACATTTCCTGTTCTCTTCTGTCAATCCCGTGAGACGGGCGCCCCCACCAGAGAGACATGCGTTCCCCCTCCTTATGCAGCTGAGAAAACAACCGGAAGTCCTGGCGCTGCCTTCTAGAACATATCTTTAGGTCTCCCAAAGCCTGGTGGCCTGAGGTTTGTTCAGCAGCAGGTGGCCGCCTCTCCCAGGAACCCTTCAGTACTGAAGTCCCAGCACAACCCTGGCATCCAGCTTCCCTGCTAGCAGGATCTGGGTCACCAGAGGCCGTCCGGAGGTCTCCAACAGCCTGCGGGAGGGCGGGCCCGGGATGCAGCAGTCACGAAAACTCCTCCGCTGGTAGGGCGGGGGAGTTCCTGGGGGAGCCGGCCCCGCCTCTAAGCCGGCACATGCAGGCACCTGCTTCCAGCATGGCAGTCACTCAGAGAACCGCCCCCACCGCGGAGACAACCGGGGGCCCTGCTCGCTTCTGCCGGCGCAGCCAGCTAAGCCTTCTGAGGGGACTCCGCTTCCTCCGCGTTAAACCACCCCCAACCCCCCATGGCCCCGAGGGAAAGTAAATGAGGTCTCAGCCCGACCCCAGACCCCTTCCCCTAAGTATCCACCTTTGCCTAGGACCCCTCGTGGGTCAGGTCGGCCTTCTCCACCTGCGCCCCCGCCGGGCCTACCTGCCTTGCGCAGCAGGCCGATCTGTGAGCCGTTGAGGGCCATGTAGTCGCAGTCGGTGACGACCCGCACTCGCACCCCGCGCTGGTGCAGCAGCTGGACCGCGCGGCCCAGCTGCGGGCTGGAGAAGGCGAACAGGCAGAGCTCCAGGCTGACGCGGGCGGCCAGCAGGGCGCGCATTAGGCGGCTCAGGGAGCTCTCGCTGTGAGGCAGGCCGCACCCGCAGCAGTTGGGGAGCGCGGCTGCCGCCTCGTCCGGAGCCTTCAGCAGAGCCTCGGTGCAGGTCACCTGCGACGGGAAGAACAGCACCTCACGCCGCAGCCGCCGCCGCCCGGACCGCAGCCAGCGCAGCACCCAAGGTAGCACCTCCAGGGCCAGCGCCAGGCCCACAGCCGTCGCAACCGCCACCCGCCCGCGCAACCGCCACATGCCGCAGCTGCCCCGGCCGCCGCCGAGCCTGCGCGCCTCCAGCCCCAGACCGCCAGGCGCCGCCAACAGCCACGTGCAAAGCCACGCCCCCAACCCCCGAGGGCATGTGCCAGGCCACGCCCCCGTCACGCGCCACCAACGGCCACGTGCGAGGCCACGCCCCCAGCCCCCTAAGTACGTGTGCCAGACCGCGCCATTCCCCGACAACTGACACCAAGCTGAGCCCATCCCTTCCCACTAGTCCGTCCCTAGTCCCCAAGGGTGGCCACACCTCCCTCACGCGCCAGACCACTACCTACCCCCCAACGCCACAGGCTGCCAACACCAGGCCGCGCCCCCTATTTCCCCACCAGCCAGGCCCCCCCGGCCACGCCCCCCAGGTTCCACCTCCCACTATGCACCAAACCTCGCCCCCAGACCCTCCGTCACTGGGCACCTCATGCACACCTGCGGGCCACGGGCCCTCGCTGCACCAGTCACCTGCCCAGGCCAGAGACCGCCCGCCGCCCCGGAAGCCTCAGCAACCCCGGCTTTCCTCGTTTGGAGCACAGCAGAGCTGCTTGGGAAATGTGGACACCTTCACTGTCCCCTCCGGCTGGGGAAGGACATGGAAACAGATATCAGGGAATCCACACAGCTGGAGGCAGCACTGGAACCCAGCCTGCTGGAGGCGATGGCGTAGTAGGGATGCCCAAGTCCAGAGTTAGGCCCCTATAGGTTTTTTTTCCCAGCCTAGCTGTAGGGCTGTTGGCCCCACAGGGTTGTGGGGTGTCCCTTATGCTGTGCTGAGGTGCAGGATCTGAGAAGTGAAGAGACAGGACACTGGAGAACTGGAAAAGAGCAGCTGGGCTGGGGATGGGGGCACGCCACCTATGAGCAGAGACAGGCGAGGCCCCAACGCCCGGAAGTGTCTGTATTTATTAGGTACAAGCAGGGGGAAGGGTCGTAAGTGAGGTCATCAGCTATAGGCTTAGTGATAGGGCATACATAATTACATGAGTCACAAGAGAGGGGGCCACGCCATTATGTCACCTGGGCAGAGACGTGGGCCGTGTGCAGTAGGGGGCTGTGCCGTGAGCAGTAGTAGAGGGTCGTGTACAGAAAAGGGGTCCACCCCTATTAGGTCACTGAGGCAAAGAGGTGGGCTGTGTGCAATAGGTGTCGTGTGCGCGACACTTCTTATCTGGGGCTGGAGACTTCAAAGGATTTCTAATAGAAGGATACTGCAAGCCAATGCAGTGGGATCTGACAGACTTGTGCTCTTCTCTAAGATATGTATGGGAGGATGATTGACCTAGCACAGAATCGAGAAAAGACTGACAGGGTGTACAGCCTCCGAGACTGGTCACACCTGAGGGGTTCTTCTCCCTCAGTTCTTTGCAGGATCTCAGGCCTGAGGCCCACTTTCCACAGGAACTGGATGCAAGATACTACAACTCCTTTATCAGGAGGAAAGGCTCTTGCTCCAAGCCTGCCATACAGCATATGCCCTTTCAGGCAAGGCCGCCACCGCCTGGGACTTCAGTTCTTGTCCTGGTCTGGCTGTTTTCCCATGTACTGCTTCTGTTCTGTGACTGCTCTAGGCATTCCTCCTACTACAAACTACTATATGGTTATATAGAAGGATTCTATAAATCAGCACTAAATGTGTCAGTACAGCTCCGACTACAATACCTATATGATTATAAAGATTATATGGAACTAAGTATGATTATATATATAAGCTACATATAGTAAGCAGTAAGTTATATGATTATATAGAAAGATCATATGAGACCTAGTATGATTTTATATATAAGCTAGATATAAGTAAGCAGTGAGTTATACTTCAGGCACTAACTGTGCCTGGGGTCTGCACAGTTCTCCTTCCTCGGTGCCCCAGGGGGTGTTACCCACACCCAACTGGATCTCCAGCATTGTTGGAAGGAGGCTGCCCTGCTTTAAGCATTAACGGAGGGGAGACGAAGGCAGCTGAGGGCTGTCTTAGTGGGCACTGAGCCGGTGTTCTGGGCTGGATCCTGGAACAGAAAGAAGGCATTCACAGAAAACCTGGTGAGATCCAAATAAAGTCTGGAGCTTAATCGCTTTGTACCAATGTCAGTTTCTTAGCTTTGAAAAATGTATGAAAGGAATGTAAAAGCCTAACAATAAAGGAAGCGGGATGGGGGTAAATGGAACTCTGTTCTATCTTTGAAACTTTTCTGTAAATCTAAAATTATTTTAAATTAAAAATGTATTAAAATATTAAACTTGCACCTTCCAGATGGTCCAGGCATCCCACTCCCAGGAGAAAGGATGGATCCATTCACACAAGCATGCATACACTAGTGTTCTTGGCAGGCACATGTGCAATAACCCACACCTGGAAAAAACCCAAACGTGTGTCAGCAGGTAAACAGGTCAGCAAACTTTTGTATATCTATACAAGGGAATGCTATTTAGCAATAAAATAGAATGAAGTGGCTGGGCACGGTGGCTCACACCTGTAATCCCAGAACTTTGGGAGGCTGAGACAGGAGGATAGCTTGAGTTCAGGAATTTGAAACCAGCCTGGCCAACATAGTGAAACACTGTCTCTACCAAAAAATACAAAAATTAGCTGGGTAGGGTGGTGTGTACCCGTAACCGCAGCTACTCAGGAGGCTGAGGTGGGAGAATCGCTTGAGCTTGGGAGACTGAGGTTGCAGTGACCTGGGATCGTGCCATTGCACTCCAGCCTGGGTGACACAGCAAGACCCTGTCTCAAACAAACAAAAAAAACAAGTTCCTGGAATCTGTAAGATGACCCATTTCCCTTGAAAAGAAAACTGAGTGTAAATATCTTTTTTTTTTTTTTTCTATCATCCAGGCTGGAGTGCAGTAGTGCAACCTCTGCCTCCCGGGTTCAAAAAGCGTTTCTCCTGCCTCAGCCTCCTGAGTAGCTGGGACTACAGGCTTACACTACCAGCCCAGCTTTCTTTTTTTTTTTTTTTTTTTTTGGTATTTTTAGTAGAGATGGTTTCACCATGTTGGTCAGGCTGGTCTTGAACTCCTGGCTTTAGGTGATCCACCTTCCTTGGACTCCTGAAGTGCTGGAATTATAGGCATGAGCCACTGTGCCCAGCCCTGAGGGTATCTTGAATGTAAAATCAGGAAACCCTTGACTGCCTTCAACACACAGGGAAGGTTCGAGATTGGGAATTTGTTTTCTGTCTCTTGCACTTGGAGTAAAAAGCTACAGTGAATGTAAAATCAGGAATCCCTATTCCCTCACAAGGGAAGCAGTCTGGCCTCGTCTTGGCCTGGCACAGATTCAGCTCAGCCTAAGGCTCTTCTGCAATCACAACTAATAGGAAAAGTCTTCAAGAACTGTATGCCCTCAAGGAGAAAAAGCCCACAGCTGCCTAGAAACACCAGTTGGTGTAGGGTGGTGCCTGCCCCCTTGCCAGCAAGCTGTTAGACATGAGAAATCCAGGTCACACACGCTCCTGAAGTGAATGCAGAGCTAACTTAATGCTGGGCTCCTACTTGCCAAGTGGATTCAGCCACTAGACTGGCAGACAACTGACAAGAACTGAGCACAGAACTGAGCTCCCAGGAATGCCATGCACAAGAGAAACAGGAATCTACTTGAAGCTAGGGAGGACAGTGGGCGGCTACCTCTCTCCTCATTTTCTCTTGACTCGCACAGGTCAAGAGGTCCCCTACCTCGAGGTAGATGACTCAACCACGAACCCTCAGTTTGGGGGACTGCCACAGTCACCCAGGGTGCTTCCAGCCATCTTCCTCTCAGATGGACACACCTTTAAATATCATTAAGGGATGAGCCATTTCCTAAAGCCGAACAAAATGCCAAGCACAGCCAGGCACAGTGGCTCATGCCTGTAATCTCAGCACTTTGGGAGGCCAAGGTGAGCGGATCATGAGGTCAGGAGATTGAAACCATCCTGGCTAACATGGTGAAACACCATCTCTACTAAAAATACAACAAAATTAGCGAGGTGCAGTGGCACACACCTGTAGTCCAAGCTACTCAAGAGGCTGAGGCAGGAGAATCGCTTGAAACTGGGAGGCAGAGGTTACAGTGAGTCGAGATCACGCCACTGCACTCCAGCCTGGGCCACAGAGACTCTGTCTCAAAATAAAAACGCCAAGTACATGGGCACAGACACTAAATAGATGTCCCTGGGATAAATGTTTTCTTCTCTCCCACACCAACTCCAAAGATTAACTTTGAGAAAACTGTCTACAATCAATGCAGAAGCTTAAAGGTGTGAATTGGCCACTCGCTGCTATTATTTTAACCATAGTATTTCCTGTGCCTGAGTGCAAGTTTATATTAGGCATCAAATCAATAAAACCATGTAGTCAACCATTTACAAAAATACATCTTTACTGTGTTCCAATGTTGCTGCGTTATACAGATAACTAGTTATATAAACTTATTCTTCATGTTAAGTATAAATTAAACACAAAAAACTAGAAACCAGCAAAACTGCCATAAAATCCCTCCAAGCTATGAATCCTTATTAAAAATGTACGGTAGGGGCACCTGTAGCTGTAGGTGGAAGCAGGAGGACTGCTTGAGCTTAGGAGTTCAAGATCAGCCTGAATGACATAGCAAGATGCTGTCTCTTTAAAAACAAAAAAGTACAGTGGGATGATGAAATTGTCTTCAATCACCACACTCTGAAAATAGTTAACTGTAGCCAAATGTAAATGTTGAAAGCAGCAATAAAGGCAAAGCAATACAAAATAAAAGCATGGTAGGCCTCCCATATCCAGAGGGTTGGGCAAGTCAGATGCTCGCTCTGACACCTCAGCAACCTATCATCTTTGTGCAATCATGATCAGGGGATCCAACCTTAAGCCACAGGTTACCTTCACAAGCACCTGAAGGGGAACACCCCAGAAGACGAGCCCCATGATTTCACAACACACATCTCAGGGGCCCTGAAGATGAGGACCAGCTCCACTTCACTCCCCAAAGTCTCCTGTAGAGCCCTGACTTAAAAATGACGACTCAGTGACCAAGGACTGGCAGTGTACTGAATATTCACAACTGCAGCAAAATGTACACTCAAACAAGAGACCCAGAAACACAGGCTGAATTTCAAATGGAAAGGCTTGAATGTTAACCTCGAGAGCGGATATGTCATTGCGCCTGCATATGGAGTCGGACCAACCCAACCTGTTTCTCCTGTGGGTTTTGAAATCTAAGACCACAAGGGGCCTGAGGGGTAAGCTGTCCTAGGCATCTCTCCGAAGGATTCCAAGAAAGGGAGCCCACCATCCCCACACCTTTCATTGCCTCTTCAGCGATTCCAGTGGCTTAAGGAAGGTTGTGGGAAGCACACAGGCCCCAAACTCGACAGAGGGCCAGCCCAGCCCAGAGTTTCCATTCCTTGCTGGGACACAGGTCCTTCCAGCAAATCAGAAACACGTGACAGTCCCTCGTGTGTGGCTGGAGGGGCCTGTGGACAGCCACCCCCATCTTTAGGTGGTTGTGTGTGGCAGGTCAGCTCCGAGACTCCGAGGCCGTGGGACTGCGGACCGTGGACATGAGATGTGACTTGTAGGTCTTGCTCAGGCCAGTCATCCAGAACTTCAGCAGCTTGACATTGTCCTCCTCGGAGGCGCCCAGGATGCTTAGCAGCTTCTGTGTGTCCTCTTTGGGCCGACTGTCCACCTTGGTGAACTTAAAAAGCACCTTCACTTTGCTGCAGGAAACCAAAACAAAACACTCAGACACCACGGCACGATCCCCGAGCCCTGCTCACAGCCAGTGGCTTCGGGACCAGCAGAAGCTGCACAGGCAGGGCTAGAATCTGCACCCTCCGGGCAGCAGGCCCCTGAACTGCCAGAAGGCGCTGCATCCCGCAAGAAGGGAAACTGTGCCCTCTGCTGGGTTTGGGGCCTGGGTGCTTCCCACACCCTCCGTCAAGCTGTTATGATACCAAGAAACAAAGAAAAACCTTCCTTAAACTCACTGAAGATGGGGAATGCTCCTAAGCTTCACTGCATTATTTTACATCAGGACATTTGATTAATAAATTTGACCAAAAAATTACCAAGAATTGAGGCAGGAGGAATTAAAATAAACTTGCTTAAAAAACAAAAAGCGGCAGGGTCGGGGGTCGGCAGGTGTTACTGGGCTTTCAGGTTTTAAAGTTAATTGCAAAGCAGATGTCAGAGCTTCCATTATCAACCCTCCCATGTGCTCGGGGCTCTTGCCCAAGCCTCGACCGCTCTCCCAGGCAGGTGCAACCCCCACCTCCCCAAGCAGGAGCAGGGGTCAGAGATGACAACCACTTCCCAAGGCCACCTGAGCTCCGCAGTGGCAGACCTGGTGTTGGTACCCCGCCCCCAACATCCACTCTCAGCACCTCCCAGTGGTCATGGCCCAGCTCCTCTTTTGGAAACAGCTCCGGGTTTTATCCTCGGGCCCGCAAGCAGAGGGGCCTCACCCACGCTTACTTCATCCACTCCTCCTTGAGGCAGACGAGGCACTGGTCCACCACATCCACAGATAGGTTCTGGTTGGTCAGGGCGGCCTCAATCTTATTCAGGATGGTGGGGCCAACTGGGGAGAAGGTCAGGGGCAGAGTGAGGGCAGGTGTCAGCACAGGGCGGGAGCCTTGTCCCATGAAAAGGACGCCTGCCTAGGGGCACCCACCTCGGTCTGCAGCTACAGGGCTCCCACTGGTCACTACAAACTCGTACTTGCTGAGAGACTGGTCGTCCTCACAGCCCACAGGGTGGAGGGTGGAGCGCGCAGCCGCATGGACCTCCACGATGACAGCGAACTCTGTGACAACACAAGGTCCACAGCCCCTAAGTGCTCCTCACCTCCCCTGCACTCCCCCACTGAGGGCCTACTCTGGCTCACGTCAGGTCAGTGAGGAGGGCTACCGCTGAAAAGGCTGCCAAGATCAATGCTTTGCTATTTAGGACCTTTCAGGTGTCTGTGCATAGTTAAGGGTTAACTTTTGCCTGTTAAACTAGTAATTTATTGTATTACAATAATCACAAAGTACTTTACATACATCAGTTGACCTCCTACTAAGAAGCCCTATGAGGGTGGTCCCACCGTGGCCTAATTTTACAGATGGGGAAACGGACCTGGAGCCGTTAAATAACCCGCCAAAGGTTACACGGCCTATGGTAGTGGTAAGAGTTTCAAGTCTGTCTGAAACCAGAGCCTGTGTTTCCAGTGCTAGCTGGGAAAAAAAGCACTGCTGCGGGGACTCAGGACCCAGTCTGGGTGCTGATCGGAGGCTCATGGCAGCTCCACTCAGACCACAAGTCAGCAACTGCTGCTCACAGCTGTGCCGGGGAAGTCACTGATGAGCCCAGGGGGCTGACCCCCAGACATCCCCAAACCAAAACACCAGGGATGCCGCTGAGCTTCCTGGGTCTCTTTTGCTGAGCCCTGACCCCATCAGAGAAGGCCAGGAAGGCTTCGGGTACATGAGAGGAAGAAACAGGCTTGGAGGACAGCAGAAGGCGGGACAGGAGAACTGTGAGGAGGGGAGGACAGCGGGGCCCACAGAAGCCAGTGGCCCATGCCCAGCATTCAGCAGGCCTCCCACATCTCATAGGCACCCACTCACCAGGACAACTAGGATCCTCCAGCCAGGGCACACATTCTCCCACCCCAGGACGGTGACCTGCAGCCTGCTGAGGACAGTCCCTGCCAGCCACCCTTCCCATCAGGTCCACCCACCCACCCCTGCCTGTGTGAAGATGGAACATGGAGGCCCAGAACCATGGGGGAAGCTGGCCGTGCAATGAGGCCTCCTCCCTCCACAACCCACGACAGCCATCTGCTTCCACTCTGGGCCAGAGGTGCGGGGACCCTGAGCGCAGGGCACGGCCCTACAGACCTCGGTGGAACGCACCTGAGGAGAGCACGTGGGGGGGGATCTGCACGTGTGGGCTGAGCCCCAGGAAGTTGCACCGATAGGCCTCCTCGTACTGGCTGCTGTACGGGATGATGCGGACGCAGCCCACGGGCAGCATGGTCTGAGGAGGACAGCAGGACTCAGACCAAGGACGAGAGGAAGCCCTTGGCCCCGGCCATCCACACTCCACTAAATCCCACACGCCTCCTGCGGCCCGGTCCAAGGCCTCCCTCCTCCCAGAGGAGTCCTCAAGACTCTCAGCCCATGGTTGGGGGTCCTCTGCCATCAGGCTAACTCTCGTCTGGACCGCCAGGCACACACCAGCTCGTGCTGCCTCTTGCTTTGTGGAGCTAACTCTTAAATCTTGCCTGCACAAATGTTTGGCTCTTACCACATCCCACAAAGAAGCCTCTAACCAGGACTGTGTCATATACATTTCTGTTCCCTCAGGCCAGGCAGTCAGCAGGCACACTCACACCTTCTGATGATTTCAACATCATCAGACCAGACCTGGCCTCCACACCCACTGCACCCCAGGTGGAGGCAGCTTGGGGCACTGCGGCTTACACAGGGCAGTCGGGGCACCTCAGCAGCCCCCGATGCCAGGCACTAGGCCCACACTGCTCTGCGCCGCACACCCATGGAAGAGATGTTCTCACCCGAAGCACTTCAAAGGCTGACTGCACGAGGTCCAAGTCTCTGCTTTTCCAGATCACCTGGTTCCCCATGAGAACGTGCCAGGCCAGCATGCGGAAAGACGGGGCGCCCAGGACCTAAACAAGAGAATGCAGTGCTTTCAGCATGACTAGGAGAAATGGTTTTCCTCTCCCTTCCCATGAAGTTATTGATTTGTGTTCATAAAATGTTATAGAACAAAGACAGGTTCAGGAGAAAGTCACTTATCTTCTCAGGGAGGCGGTGCCCAGCCCAGGGTTAAATGGGGAGAGACAGAAGTTCCAGGTTTGCACTTAAAAGCCAGATTCCAAAGCTCTTGCTCCAAGATCTTCCTCCCAATTTTGTTTTTAAAAACTTGAAGCAAAAAGATGTTAACTTCCTGCAATATTTATTCACCTTCTCTTTACAGACACTTTTTTTTTTTTGAGATGGAGTTTCACTCGTTACCCAGACTGGAGTGCAATGGCACAATCTCGGCTCACCACAACCTCCCACTTCTGGGTTCAAGCAATTCTCCTGTCTCAGCCTCCTGAGTAGCTGGGATTACAGGCTCGCACCACCATGCCCAGCTAATATTTGTATTTTTAGTAGAAACGGGGTTTCACCATGTTGACCAGGATGGTCTCGATCTCTTGACCTCGTGATCCACCCGCCTCAGCCTCCCAAAGTGCTGGGATTACAGGCTTGAGCCACCGCGCCCAGCCTTTACAGACACTTTTTGCCGAAGCATTTGAAAGCAGGCTGTAGGGCCCTCTACCGGCGGCACCCAGAACAAGGATGTCACCACAGCTGAGACATGATGGCTCCATGACTGGAGCCCATCATGGTGAGACCACGATGGACACACCTGACATCCAGCCATGTGCACAAGCCCAGGGCCCTTGCCTGCTTGGCAGCTGCTGTTCTTTTGATCCAGGAGCTACTATAGCACCGTGACTGCCTTTAGTTATCATGTCCTTATTCTTTAACCTAGAACAGCCTCTCTCCAGACCCCACCTTTTATTAGCTTCCACGACACTGACACCTTAGGAGAGTCCAGCCTGTTGTCTCACTGCTTCTAAGAAGCCAAACACGGCTTTGAAACAAAACCTAAGAGAGAGGCCACAATACCACATTTCACCAAATCCTCAGAGCCTCAAAGCAGTCGCACCTCCAGAGGAATTCCACACACCTTCCAACCTTCATCTACGCAAGAAATTGACAAGGAAGGTTTCAGCCGAATGTAGGATTTTAATGGATTGAGTGTTTTCATCCAGAAGCCCCAAGGGCATCTGCCATGAAATCAGTCTTACTCCATTTTCCAAAACAAATAACACCCTTCTGATGAATCAGTACTCATTGGAAAAATAAATACAGAAGATATTTTTTTTTTTTTTTGAGAGAGATTGCTCCTGTCACCCAGGCTAGAATGCAATGGTATGATCCTGGCTCACTGTAACTCAGCCTCTCAAGTAGCTGGGGTTACAGACATGTACCAACACATCCAGCTAATTTTCTATTTTTAGTAGAGATGGGGTTTCTCTCTGTTGATCAGGCTGATCCCAAACACCTGACCTCAGGTGACCCGCCTGCCTTGGCCTCCCAAAGTGCTGGGATTACAGGTGTGAGCCACCGTGCCCGGCCAGAAGAATCTTATCAAGGACATAGCCTGCCCCTGCAATGGAGCAACCCACACCTACTCCTCCAATTCTGTTATGTCCGGCAGGCACACATGTGCATATATCACCCTAAACACACGCTGCCTGCTTTATTTCTTCTAATTAATCATATTCCACGGTTTGGCTACCATTTACTACAATGGTTTGATACTCAGGTTCTTCCTAATTTTTTTGTAAGAATGACCTCACTTTCAATCAGCAGGGTCCTGGCTGCACCCAAACCAATAATAGTGCTGTTCACTGCCTCCTGGAGGTTCTCAGAGGATCAGAGGGACCATGGGATGCCAACTATTTGGCCTTTCTTTGAAGATACTTAGGTCATCACTGAAGGGGGAGCACTGATCTTACGGCTAATACTCCCGACACCCTGTGCCCTCAGCCATCAATCGAGAGGCTGTCAGTCACTTCCCACAGGGTTTTGAAGATGGAGAGCCCAGAGGTAAGGCATGTGGGTGGGGACGGTTTTGCTCTCCTCCTGAGCTCCTGATGCTTTTTGTCCCTGCCACCTACCTGCCTCATGTGCCGGAGGGACTTGAAGACTGGCAGCTTCCGGGGCTGCCAGCTCCCACAGCCTGAAAGACAGGAGGACTCTGCCGGGCCCTGGGTCAGCTCCCGCCCTTCTGCACCCTCTGGCAACACAGGGGCTTTCTCCTCCTCTTCAGCTTCAGAGTTGTCCCAGGTTTCTGATTCCTCTTCTAAATCTGCAAGACAGACAACAAGGACAGTTACAGATACAAACCTGTGACTACAGCCCAAGGCACCTCGTGGGCTGAACTGGTCAGTGTAGATTCCTAGCTGTGGCCAGGTCCCATGTTCCCTGTTGCTCTGGGAGCCCTGTGCCGGGAGGGAGGGCTCAGTTGCTGTCTGCTTAGCCCAGGGCACCACACGTCCATCTTAGAAACACTTACAGAAAGACCATCAGCTATTCTTTGCTGGTGAGAAAACTCAAACTAGTGAAAAATGCCAACAGTGTGTCTTCTGAACACATCCAGTCGGCCACAGTTCTCAACGATCTACAAATCGTTTTTATTTTTTTCCACTTTCATTTTAGATTGAGGGGGTACAGGTGTAGTTTTGTTACAAAGGTACGCTGGGTGGTGCTGAAGTTTGGGCTGCTATTGATCCTGTCACCCAAAGAGTGAACCACAAGAAGTAATATACCCAGACAGTATCCAATAGAAAGTATTTCAGCCCTTGGTCCCCTCCCTCCCTCCCTCCTTCTGGAGTCCCTGGTGTCTACTATTCCCATCTTTTTATTTGAGACAGGGTCTCACTCTATATTGCCCAGGCTAGAATGCAGTGGCACAATCACGGCTCACTGCAGTCTCAATCTTCTGGGCTCAAGTGATCCTCCCAACTAAGCCTTCCAAGCAGCTGCGAGTCCAGTCATGCACCATCACGCCCAGCTACTTTTCATATTTTTTGTAGAGGCTGGACCTCGCTATGTTGCTTAGGCTGGTATCAAACTCCTGAGCTCAAGCCATCACCTGTCTCAGTCTCCCAAGTGCTGGGACTCCAGGTGTGCACCAATGCCTAATTTCATTCTTCTTTATGGCTGCATCCAACATCATTTCATTTAGTCCTCTCAATTGTGCTGAGGTCAGGTCAGCACTATTACCTCCATTTCACAGATAAAGAAATGGGTATTTGTCATTTCAATGAACCTTCATGGAGCCCTCACAAATGACCACATCTCCATTTCACATCATGAAACCCAAAGGGAAGGGTGCACGTGAGAAGCAGAGCCAGAATGCGAAGCCAGGCCTGACTCCAAAGGGCAAGCCTTGAGCCTGAAACCCCACACTGCACATGCCCCGCACACCCACTTCCAAGTTCTCACAAAGGCTTCGACAGCTCTGGCTCTTTGAGCTAGAAAGTTCCCCAAGACACTACCCTTGCCATCTGCACATGCCTAGAAACATGATTGGCACTATAATAACTGGCTCCAAGGCCGGCCAACCCGCAGGGCGTGGGGGTGGATTGCCAGGCTTCGTCTTTCCTGACTAGGTTCCGCTCTTGCTAAGACTCCACTGGCAAAGCTTATTTGAGGGCATGCCTGCAGAAACACCTCGAAACAGCTCCAGCTGTTTGGAAGGCCAGTCAATTGCAAGTAGAAGCATGGGAAGCATGATTGATGACACGCGGTGTGGAACAATGGTCATAAGCCTGTGCACCCACCTCACAGCCGGGATCACAGACCTGTAGCACCAAGATCAAATCATCCCTGATTGAAACCTCGGCCAAGACTGGGCCCAGTGCTTCCGGGCTAGTGCACAAGCTGCCAGGATCTCCAGACACAGGGCCCTGAGCCCCATCAGGAACCTGGGGAAGCCCAGGCACCTGGGAGGTCAGGGAACCACTGCCCTTGATGGAAAGCTGGGGTCCAAATGAAACAGAACACTTTATTTGTAAAGGAACAAAGACTAAGAAGAGACTGTCCACCAGGCTGAGCACTCAGCTATCCCAAAATGGGGAGGAGAAACCTTCAATCAGCCAGTTCTCTCTACGGACAGCCCTACCAGTGAATTTTCCCCACCTAGCTAGTGAAAGGACTCTTTCTTTCTGAGACGGAGTCTTACTCTGTTGCCCAGGCTGCAGTACAATGGTACCATCTTGGCTCACTGCAAACTTTACCCCCTGGGTTCAAGTGATTCTCCTGCCTCAACCTCCTGAGAAGCTGGGATTATAGGCGCCTGTCACTGCACCCAGCTAATTTTTTGTAATTTTAGTAGAGATGGGGTTTTACCATCTTGGCCAGGCTAATCTTGAACTCCTGACCTAGTGATCCACTTGCCTTGGTCTCCCAAAGTGCTGGGATTACAGGCATGAGCCACCGTGCCTAGCAGGAAATGAATTCTTTCACATGACGGTCAAGGCAAACGAGACAGGAAATCACAACAATCACACCGAGCTCAGGGGCAAGCTTCCCAAAGGCTCATCCTGGGCTGCTTCAGAGCTGCATTTCCCTTCCTCAGCAACTCCTGCCAGGATAGCAGAGAGCTGGTACCACCCCACGGCCATCAGGGCCAAGGCCCCAGCAACAGCACCCCTGGCTCACCTGCAAGCTTCTCCATCTGGACCAAGGTGTCCTCGGTCGGAGCGCCTTCCAGGAGCTTCTCGGTCAGCCGGCTGCCACATGCCTTCAGGAGCCTGGAGAACACAGCACCACCTATGAGCCTTCTTGCCAAGGAAAAAGCAAACCTCTCACCCAGCCACTGATCCTACCAGGTTAAAGAAAATATGGCCAGGCGCAGTGGCTCACGCCTGTAATCCCAACACTTTGAGGCCGAGGCACGTGGGTCACCTGTGGGAGTTTGAGACCAGCCTAACCAAGGTGGAGAAACCCAGTCTCTACTAAAAATACAAAATTAGCTGGGCATGGTGGTGGGTGCCTGTAATCCCAGCTACTCAGGAGACCGAGGCGGGAGACTCACTTGAACCCGGGAGGTGGAGGCTGCAGTGAGCAGAGATTGTGCCATTGCACTCTAGCTTGGGCAACAAGAGTGAAACTCCAACTCAAAATAAATAAATACATATATAAATAAAAAGAAAATATAAGAATAAAAGAGCACCACAAGGGCACAACCAGCCAGATCCCACGGGCAGGCAATTCCACAAGCCAGTGACCAAGGTTCTTCAACAGGCAGCATGGGAGAAACTGGGAGGGGAGGGGATGTGAGGAGGAGCTGTTCTAGCCAGAGAGACTTTGGGTGCTGCTGCGACACCAATGCAGTCACTTGTGAGACAAAAGAGGAAACTGACAAGGGCTTGCACCCTGGAGAACACTCAGGAATCTGTCCATTTTGTTGGACATGATCACCGTATGGTGACTGTATTTATGACTGGAATGATACAACTCAGATTTCCTTTAAAAAAAAAAATTCCAGGCCATGAGCAGTGGCTCAAACCTGTAATCCCAGTACTTTGGGGGGCTGAGGGGGTCAAGGGGGAGGATTGCTTGAGGCCAGGAGTTCAAGACCAGCCTCAGCGACATAGCAAGGTCCAGTCTCTACAAAAAATGAAAACATCAGCCGGGCGCGGTGGCTCACACCTGTAATCTCAGCACTTCGGGAGGCCGAGGCGGGTGGATCACGAGGTCAAGAGATCGAGACCATTCTGGTCAACATGGTGAAACCCTGTCTCTACTAAAAATACAAAAAAATAGGCCAGGCGTGGTGGCTCAAGCCTATAATCCCAGCAGTTTGGGAGGCCGAGGCAGGTGGATCACGAGGTCAACAGATCGAGACCATCCTGGTCAACATGGTGAAACCCCGTCTCTACTAAAAATACAAAAAATTAGCTGGGCATGGTGGTGCATGCCTTTAATCCCAGCTACTCAGGAGTCTGAGGCAGGAGAATTGCCTGAACCCAGGAGGCAGAGGTTGCAGTGAGCCGAGATCATGCCATTGCACTCCAGCCTGGGTAACAAGAACGAAACTCTGTCCCAAAAAAAAAAATACAAAAAATTAGCTGGGCACAGTGGCGTGTGCCTGTAATCCCAGCTACTCAGAAGGCTGAAGCAGGAGAATTGCCTGAACCCAGGAGGCAGAGGTTGCAGTGAGCCGAGATCGCGCCATTGCACTCCAGCCTGGGTAACGAGAGCAAAACTCCGTCTCAAAAAAAAAAGAAAACATGAGCTGGGTGTGGTGGTGTATGCCTGTAGTCCTAGCTCCTCAGAAGGCTGGGGCAGTAGGTGTGCATGGGTCTAGACTGCACCACTGCACCCCTGCCCAGGCAGCGACTAAAACCAGCAAACAAATAAGAAAACCCCAGCCAGGCATGGTGGCTCAAGCCTGTACTCTCAGATACTCAGGAGGCCAAGAAAGGAAGATGACTTGAGCCCTGGAGTTCAAGCCCAGCCTGAACATAGCAAGACTCCTGCCAAAAAAGGGTTACGCACAGTGCCTCATGCATATAATCCCAGCACTTTGGGAGGCCGAGGCAGAAGGATCACTTGAGGTCAGAATTTCAAGACCAGTCCGTGCAGCATAGTGAGATCCCATCTCTACAAGAATAAAAAAGACAAAAACTCCAGGAAAAAAAGTGACAACAGAAGAAAAAGCAGGAAAATGCTCATAACCACCAACACTGGAGGACAGGAATGGAGGCTGACTAAAGCTTATTCTTTGGGTCTGCTTGAAAATTTTAATAGTAAAATGATTTTTAAAATACAGGGGAGGCTGGGCACGGTGGCTCATGCCTGTAATCCCAGTACTTTGGGAGTCCAAGGTAGGTGGATCACCTGAGCTCAGGTGTTTAAGACCAGCCTGGGCAACACAGCGAAACCACGCCTCTACTAAAAATACAAAAATTAGCTGCCATAGCAGTGGATGCCTGTAATCCCAGCTACTCCAGAGACTGAGACAGGAAAATCACCTGCCTGGGAGGCAGAGGTTGTAGTGAGCCAAGATTGTGCCACTGCACTTCAGCCTGGGCGACAGAACAATACTGTGTCTCATAAAAAATTAAAATAAATAAAATAAAATAAAAAAAGGGGGAAGCTAAGAGAGTAGATCTGAAGTCTTCTCACCACACAAGAAAGGAAAAGTATACAAGGTAAAGCATGTTAAGGAGCCTGATTTAACTGCTCCCTGTTGCACATTTATTAAAACTTCATGTTACACACCATAAAATATACACAATTTTTACCTGTCAATTCAATTTTTTTTTTTTAGACAGAGTCTCACTGTCGCCCAGGCTGGAGTGCAGTGGCACAACCTTGGCTCACTGCAACCTCTGCCTTTCGAGTCAAGTCATTCTCCTGCCTCAGCCTCCCGAGTAGCTGGGACTACAGGCGCCTGCCACCACACCAGGCTAATTTTTGTATTTTTAGTAAAGACAGGGTTTTACCATATTGGCCAGGCTGGTCTCGAACTCCTGACCTCAAGGGATCCGCCTGCCTTAGCCTCCCAAAGTGCTGGGATTATAGGTGTGAGCGACCGCACCCTACCTAAAATATATTAAGCTGTGTACTAGAGCCCCAGCTACCTGGGGGCTTAAGCCTGGCAGTCTGAGGCTGTGGTGTGCTATGGTCACACCTGTGAATAGCCACTGCACTCCAGCCTGGGCAACATAGTGAGACCCTGTCTCTAAAAGAGAAAAAAATTAAAGTGCTGGGTGAAAGGGTCACTTGAGTCAGTAAGTTTGAGGCCAGCCTGGGCAACATAGTAAGACTTCGTCTCTACAAAACAACTTTATTTTTATTTTATTTTATTTTGAGACAGAGTTTCGCTCGTTACCCAGGCTGGAGTGCAATGGCACGATCTCGGCTCACCGCAACCTCCGCCTCCTGGGTTCAGGCAATTCTCCTGCCTCAGCCTCCCGAGTAGCTGGGATTACAGGCTTGCACCACCATGCCCAGCTATTAACAACTTTAACAGAGGGGAATTAGCTGATGCTTTCCCTGTCTGCCCACAGATCCTTAGGAGCTGCACTCACGGGCCTACCCCGAGGGGCCTGATCCACCCAAGATCAGATTTACACATGAAATCCTAGACTTCGAGCTGGTGCTGCATAGGAATGAGAATCTGGGGCTGGAGCTTTTGGAAGGAGGGAGTATATTCTGCTGTGGGATGAACAGAAGCCACTGCTGGCCGGAAGACAGACCAGACTGCTGTTTTGTTTTTGTTTTTTCTTTTTTTCTTTGAGAGGGAGTCTCACTCTGTCATCAGGCTGGAGCACAGTGACACGATCTCTTCTCACTGCAATCTCTGCCTCCCGGGTTCAAGCATTTCTCCTGCCTCAGCCTGCTGAGTAGCTGGGATCACAGGCGTGTGCCACCATGCATGGTTAATTTTTTTGTATTTTTAATACTCGGGGTTTCACCGTGTTGGCGAGGCTGGTCTCACACTCCTGACCTCATGATCCGCCTGCCTTGGCCTCCCAAAGTGCTGGATTTACAACCATGAGCCACCGTGCCTGGCCTTTTCTTCCTTTTTTTAGAGGCAGGGTCCCACTCTGTCACCCAGGCTGGAGTGCAGTGGTGTAATCATGGTTCTCCTGGGCTCAAGCAACCCTACCGTCACAGCCTCCTGAGTAGCTGGGGCAACAGGTGCATGCCATCATACTTGGGTAGTTTTGTTCATTTTTTTGTAGCCAGGGGTCTATGTTGCCCAGGCTGGTCTTGAACTCCTGGGCTCAAGGGATTCTCTAATCTTGGCCTCCCAAAGTGTTGGCATTACAGGCTCAGACATTGCGTTTTCATATCACTGGGAAATGAATTCCACCTCAATACATTTTCTGCACACTCAGGGAAAAAGACCCAGAGAACAAGGATTCTCAGCCCAGATCTGTGCTCACTGACAAGTGCCCACAGGCCAGTGCTCCTAGCAGAGGCAGCAAGAAAACTCAGCTACGGACTGTTCTCCCAAATCTGTGGATGAGCCAACCAATGTGTCGTGACTGCTCTATCCTAACAGCTGCCAAAAGCGGAGATGCCCGTTACCAGGCAAAGGAGGTGTGCAGGCATGCCCACAAGTTGTCATCACTTGTCAGTGACGTCAGTGAGCGGGCGGCATTGCCATTCCTCTGGTGCAGGAATGGTGTGAAGGCTGTGTTCATCCTCTGCGCACGCTGTGGGCATCCAAACTGCTCTGCCTCAAACACCTGAAATGCAAAGGGAAGGGATGGCATCTTTAAGCCAAAGGTGCCAGCAGCCTGGACCCCCACTCGTTCATAGCCAACTCCAGGACCTGACTCCTGGACATAGTCCCACTGCACTCTCTCCATGCAGAACACTCAAAGTGCCACCAGTCGAATCGTTCCCAACAGCATGGCTCTGCCCCCAACCCAGCTAGATCAGGAGCCACCTGAGAACAGGAATTGGCTGAGTTTCTCCTGTCCCCTTCCTAACAAGCAACCCGAGGCACCCAGGGGGATTCTCATTGAGTGGCCATTTGCGCTGCTGCCCACCTGTCTCTACCTCCCCGTCCAGATGCACTACTCAGACCCTTGGCTGAGGGACATGTGGCTCTGGCCAACGAGCTGAGAGAAACAAGGCACCCCAGCACCCTCCGTGCTTCTGGAGGGCAGAAGGAGCAACACTTCTATACAGCTGCTGCTCTGCCTGCCAGGATGACCACAGCAAGCAGAGAGAGCCCTGCTCTTATGTATGCGCACAGCATGACAAGAAACAGGCCCTCTGGCTTGAAGGTGCTGTGCTGAGAACTGGGAGCTGTTTGTTATTAGGCACAGCCTAGCTTGGTCTGGCCTGGCCTGAGCCTCAACTCCACAGCTGGAGGTCTACATTTGGTGGTGCAGCTCAATGGGATTAATGGACGTCCATGGGATGAAGGTCAGAGAAAGCAAAGACAGCAGGGAGGAAACTAGGGGTCTGACTGCAGCAAAGACACCAGAGCTGAAGGAGAACAAGGATAATGGGGGCGGGAGAGACCAGTAAAGCAGGCAGAAGGGACTGGGAGTCTCCTCACCATGATCTCCACCCCTGAAGCCAAGAGACCACAATTCACACAGTGCGGTGGACGCAGGTGGAGGGGAATAAGCTCCCAGGTTCCAGGCTTCAACCTTGGCAGAGTGACTGCTGCAGTGTAGGACCCCTGCCACCCTGCCACCCCGTCTCTGAATTCACCTTGAGCGCCTTGCCCTGGAGCTCGTCGATGATTCCCCGGACCTTCCCCAGCAGGAAGGGCCAGGAGTTGATGAGGTAGATCCGGTCCATCATGATGGTGATGACACTGTACCAGCGCTGGAAGCCCCTGGCCAGGCTGTCCTTGATGAAGAAAGTATGGCTGAACACAAAGCCATGCTGCTCATCTCCGAAGAAGATGGGGCCTTCGCGGCCAGGGCAGACCTGGCGGGAACACCAGCAACTCAGAAACAGCCCTTTCCTCGCTTAGTGACACCAAATCAATGCCTCCTCTTCAGACTTTTCAGTCTGCTGGCACAAATCAGCCAGTGTTAATAACAGGGGAGAGTGGCAGAGTGGAGGCCATGAGAGCCAAGGACTCTGCATCCTTCTGCTCCTGTGATCAAGCTTCCAACAACACTTGTCATCATGGACTGTAAGGGCCAGTAACAAGGTTCATTGCTTTTTTTCCACCTTGAGCCATAAATAACTCCCATGCATGTGTCACACTTCTCCCAGACTCAAATGCACCAACTTACTCACCCAGAGCATGCAGAAGAACCAGCAGATCAAATCAGCCACTGTATTATCCCTGCACTGAAATCTGCATATTTTATTCTTTTTTTTGTTTGTTTTTTTGAGACGGAGTCTTGCTCTGTCTCCCAGGCTGGAGTACAATGGCACAATCTCAGCTCACTGCAACCTCTGCCTTCTGGGTTCAAGCAATTCAGCCTACCAAGTAGCTGGGATTACAGGCACTGCCATCGCACCCACCTAATTTTTGTATTTTTTACTAAATACGGGATTTTGCTATGTTGGCCAAGCTGGTCTTGAACTCCTGACCTCCGGTGATCCATTCACCTTGACCTCCCAAAGTGCTTGGATTACAGGTGTTAGCCACCATGCCCAGACTTTTAAAAAAATGTTCTTAATAATTAAAATAATAATAATTATTCTTTCTGAGATGGAGTCTCGCTCTTGTCATCCAGTCTGGAGTGCAGTGGTACAATCTCAGCCCACTGCAACCTCTATCTCCTGGGTTTAAGCGATTCTCCTGCCTCAGCTTTCCGAGTAGCTAGGATTACAGGCAGGTGACACCACGCTAATTTTTTTGTATTTTTAGTAGAGACGGGGTTTCACCATGGTGGCCAGGCTGGTTGCGAACTCCTGACCTCAGGTGATCTGCCCACCTCAGCCTCCCAAAGTGCTGGGATTACAGGCGTGAGCCACCATGCCCAGCCCTGCATACTTTATTTATTTATTTATTTTTGGAGACGGAGTCTTGCTCTGTCACCCAGGCTAGAGTGCAGTGGCATGATCTCAGCTTACTGCAACCTCTGCCTCCCAGGTTCAAGTGATTCTCCTGCCTCAGCCTCCCAAGTAGCTGGGACTACAGGCACCCGCCACCATGCCCAGCTAATTTTTGTATTTTTAGCAGTGATGGGGTTTCACCATATTGGCCAGGCTGGTCTTGAACTCCTGACCTTGTGATCCGCCTGCCTCAGCCTCCCAAAGTGCTGGGATTATAGGCGTGAGCCACTGTGCCCAGCCCAGCTTACTTTATTCTCATAAGAGGATTTCAGTCCCTCCTTATGACATACTTACTCTTCCTTAACACACAATTCTAACAGATATGCCCGATGCCTGTGAGCAGACTAGCAGCAAGAAATTAAAAGGAAAGGATGGCTGAGCGCAGGCACACGGCCATATGGAATGAGAACTAACAGCTTGGTGTGTCTAATTGGGTGGACCCGATGATAAGGAAGTTTAGTAACTGAACAACGAATTCTTTGTGACAGACAAAGATCTGAGTTCAGAGTCAAGAGCCACAGCAGCAGCGATGGAGCTTAGGAACAAATCATTTACACCTCAGCAGGCTGAGAGCAGCACGTGACCATGACTGAACCAGGGAATGAGGACCAAGGCAATAAAAAAAGGTGATACTGGCTGGGCGCAGTGGTTCACACCTGTGATCCCAGCACTTTGGGAGGCCAAGGCAGGTGGACCACGAGGTCAAGAGATCGAGACCATCCTGGCCAACATGGTGAAACCTCGGCTCTACTAAAATACAAAGATCAGCTGGGCAGGTGGTGCGTGCCTGTAGTCCCAGCTACTCGGGAGGCTGAGGCAGGAGAATTGCGTGAACCCAGGAAGCAGAGGTTGCAGTGAGCTGAGATTGTGCCATTGCACTCCAGCCTGGTGCCTGAGAACAGAGCAAGAGTCTGTCTCAAAAAAAGAATTAAAAATTAAAAAATAAAATAATAATAGGCCGGGTGCGGTGGCTCACACCTGTAATCCCAGCACTTTGGGAGGCCGAGGCGGGTGGATCACGAGGTCAAGATATCGAGACCATCCTGGTCAACATGGTGAAACCCCGTCTCTACTAAAGATACAAAAAATTAGCTGGGCATGGTGGCGCGTGCCTGTAATCCCAGCTACTCGGGAGGCTGAGGCAGGAGAATTGCCTGAACCCAGGAGGCGGAGGTTGCGGTGAGCCGAGATCGCGCCATTGCACTCCAGCCTGGGTAACAAGAGTGAAACTCCATCTCAAAAAATAAATAAATAAAATAAAATAATAATAAAGAAGTGACAAATAATAAAAGTTTGGTGCTTAAAGTGCAAAGCTAGCACTCATTCAGAAAATGCTCAGAGAATCCAACATGAGATTTATTTTTTTGAGACAGAGTCTCACTCTGTCATCCAGGCTGGAGTGCAATGGCAGGATCTCGGCTCACTGCAATCTCCCGCCTCCCAGGTTCAAGCGATTTTTCTGCCTCAGCCTCCTGAGTAGCTGGGACTACAGGCACATGCACCATGCCCAGCTAATTTTTGTATTTTTTTTTTTTTTTTTTAGTAGAGATGGGGTTTCACCATGTTGGCCAGGATGGTCGCAATTTCTTGACCTCGTGATCCACCCGCCTCAACCTCCCAAGTGCTGGGATTATAGGTGTGAGCCACTGTGCCTGGTCAACATGACTTCTGCAATTCTGGACAATGGAGGTGTCCTGTACCCAGTGCTGTGCTGATCCACAGGTCCATCCTGAGAGAGGACCAGCACCTGCCTCCCTGTGCAATGCTGGCTCTGAGCCCACCCAGAGCACCTGGGAGCATGTGAGCTCCCACAAAGCCTGTCTCTGTGGTCATGATGCTCACCTCACAGCTCAGGCTCCGGACGCAGGCCTGGCGGACAATGCTGAAGAGCTGGGGGTGGCTGGGGTGCTGGTGGCTGACATATTTAATGGAGGTCTCTTTATCGTGGCTGATATACCCTGGGTGCCCTGCAGCAAGTGACCGGCAGCCCTGTCCACAAAAAAGGAAAAGAAAATCTGTTAGTTGGGAAGCAGGGCAGCCAACTCTCTTAGGCTTATGCAGATCCAAGCTCAGACAACTCAAGCTATTTTTGTACAAAAATAATTGGCCTCTAGATTTATACTTACCTGAAGATTTAAATGTATCCTAAAGAGGAAAACAGAACACAGAGATCACAGAGACTGCCAGAGGTTGTTCCTAACAGATATTTGCTGAGCGCTTATGAAGCAGGCAACATGAAAAGGGCCCTGCAAGCTCCATCTTATTCAATCCCAGGTGCCACCCTCTCAGGTAATATCAGTGAGAGAAGCCCCATTCTACAGAAGACAAAACTGAGGCTGAGGTGGGAAGTAGCTGGCCCGAGGGTGAGGGGCTCTGTGATGGTAACAATACCCACTTTCTGGGTGATGTTATCCACCCCAGCCTCTGTCCTTGGTCCTGAACTAACATCTGGAAGGGGCCTCAGCCACAGGTGGGAGACCCAATAAACAGTGTGGGCACCAAGCTCCAGAATGTTGCTGTGGCAGCTGAGACCAGCTGCTGCCCCACTGTAGCAGAAGCCACTCCGGTGCTGAGGCTGTGTGCCCTGGAGCTACCCCTACCTCAAGACTGCACAGCTGGGTGCCAGCCAAGCCCCTCCCCACAATGTCACAGGATTCCTCCAAGGGCAACCCCAACACCAGCTCGAGGATGCCCCAGCGGCCTGGCGGCGCCCTCCTTCCCAGGTCTGAGGTGGTCCCCACGCCCCAGTCCTCAAAGGCGTTTCCCACAATGGATGCAGCTTTCACACATCCTCTGCTTCTGCAGAGGAACCAAAAGAACAAGTTGTCAGCTGGGCGCGGTGGCTCACACCTGTAATCCCAGCACTTTGGGAGGCCGAGGCGGGTGGATCACGAGGTCAGGAGATTGAGATTATTCTGGCTAACATGGTGAAACCCCACCTCTACTAAAAATACAAAAATTAGCTGAGCGTGGTGGTACATGTCTGTAGTCCCAGCTGCTCGAGAGGCTGAGGCAGAAGAATTGCTTCAACCTGGGAGGCAGAGTTTGCAGTGAGCTGAGACTGCACCACTGCACTTCAGCCTGGCAACAGAGCATGACTCTGAATCAAAAAAAAAAAGAACAAGTTTGAGTTCCTGTCTGCACTGCAGTGGCAGGTCCAGTACCCAGCCCTGATGTCAGGCCCTAACCCCAGTCCTCTACACAAACAAGTGGCCCACTGGGGAAAACTCACTCATTCCTGAGAGCTCCAAAGCCAGTAGTGATCCACTGAGAACATGGGGTGAGGGTCCTGGGAGCAGGGGGCTTTGGGGACCCATACCCAGAACAGGCTGGAGTGTGTGAACACAAACATGAAGGCTACAGCAGGGAGGCAGAGTGGGTTAAAAAAGCTAGTCGGCCAGGCATGGTGGCTAATACGTATAATCCCAGCATTTTGGGAGGCCGAGGCAGGTGGATCACCTGAGATCAGGAGTTCAAAACCAGCCTCACCAACATGGTGAAACCCCATCTCTATTACATCTCTATTTAAAAAAAAAAAAAGGCTGGGAGTGGTGGCTCACACCTGTAATCCAAGCACTTTGGAGGCCAAGGCGGGCGGATCACCTGAGGTCAGGAGTTCAAGACCAGCCTGACCATCATGGTGAAATCCTGTCTTTAAAAAAAAAAAAAGGAAGCTACAGCCAAGATAAGCAGAACTAAAGGGCCCCTGAGAAGCAGTCTGTCATCCCAGGAGGCCTCATTCATTGCTTTCAGGTCCTCCTGTCCATCCCACACCTACTGCAGGGACAGTAAAACCAAGACCCCAAAGACACTTGCCTCACACATGTCCGACTTTTTGGGCCCCGGGCTGCTGGACTCAACGCTGGCCCCCTCAGCAGGGCTGTGTGCGCGCATCCGGCTGCTCATCTGAATGCCACCTTCCTCTTCCTCCGCCTGCTCGCCCTGGCCAGGGCTGTCTTCATTCCCAGCCCCTTGGGGAAGGGGGGCATGCAGGACCTCCGTGCAGAAGAGAGTGCGGGGCCCATGGAGCTCGCAGAAGTGGCAGAGAGCCACGATGGCATTCATGGTGACTTGGAGACCCCAAGAGGCCTGCGGGGGACAGGGGACATATCAGCTGGCCAGTGCCTTACTCCATGAAACCTCCCCAGTCCCTCTGGGGCACAGGGAGCACCTGGGTGCCATGGGCTTCCTGCCCAGGAGAGGCCACCTGCCTGTTCCCACCGCCCACCGCCAGCACTGCTGGGCACCTGCTTTGCCCCAGTGCTGCATCAGGTGCAGGAGAGAGAAGACGAACTGAGACAGGATAGGGTATTCGTACGGGAGTCACAGCAAATGGGGGAGGGGACGATGTGGAACAATGATCACACAGCTGGGGCTGTGACCGATCCACAGAGCCGACGGTGCAGGGAAGGAATGTCTTCTAGTGATGTGACCGTAGCCAAACATGGCAAATCCCATGGGAACAAACAGATAAAAGCCCACAGGGAGAGGGTCCAGCTTACCTCCTGTGGGGGTGGGGGATGGGCACAGGAAAATTGCTCCCTCCTGCAAGAGGCCCGGGCAGGGAGTAACCAGATAAGGCGGGAGGAGCCTGGAAGGACTGGCTCACAGGGCCAAGTGAGAGCTGAAGAGTAAGGTGTGTGCTGGGCTGCCCGAGGGGCATGAGGGGTCCAGTGTCTGGAGAGGAGGAGGAGACAGGGTGAGGCTTTAGGAAGCAGATCTTACAGCTCCCCCAGGCCATGGAAAGACCCTGGATGAACACATCAGAGACTGGGGACCCCGACTTTGGGGGACCTGATGAGACATGAGAGGATGTGAATTTCACTTGACAAGGCTCACACTTGTAATCCCAGCACTTTGGGAGGCCGAGGCAGCTGTATAACGAGGTCAGGAGTTCAAGACCAGCCTGACCAATATGATGAAACCCCGTCTCTACAAAAATACAAAAACTAGCCGGGCGTGGTGATGCACACCTGCAATCCTAGCTACTCTGGAGGCTGAGGCAGGAGAATGTCTTGAACCCAGGAGGTGGAAGTTGCAGTGAGCCAAGATCACACCACTGCACTCCAGCCTGTACAACAGAGTGAGACTCCATCTCGAAAAGAAAAGAAAAGTCTCACTCATGCCTATGTGCAGAAAAGATGGCAGGAGCCAGGGTAGAGGTGGGGAACAAGCTGAGGAGCCCCGCTGACTGATCTGAGCAGGAAAGGACAGTGGCCCAGGCCAGGGCCACAGACTGTAAAGCAGCATAGTGTGGGTGGGGCTGCAGAGTGAGGAGGAGAATCAAGCTGAGGAGGAGGCCCATCGAGTGCCTGCTGAGCCTCTGTGGGACAGGACACAGCAGCAGAGCCAAGTGCTGCAGTCAGGGCTGGCGCGTGGGACCTCTGTGAATGGAGCCTTTGCAGGCTCAGAGGTGGAGAAGGGAGGTCAGCTGGCCACAGTGACTGAGCACAGGCAGTGAGGCCGGAGCGGAGCTCCAGGGTCACCCCAGTGACCAGGTAAACAAACGGCTTTAGCAAGGTGGGACTGGAATGTCGCATGGCCTTAAAAAGGAAGGAAATCCTGCCACATGCTGTGAGATAGCTGAAACTAGAGGACACAAGCCAAGTGACTACGCTGGTCCCAAAGGGACAAATACTGTAGGATTCCACTTAAACATGAGGTACCTAGAGTCCTCAAACCCACAGAGACAGCGGAATGGTGGCTGCTGGGGGCTGGGAGGGAAGAGCAGGGCTCAGCTGGAGACAGAGGGTGGCGATGGCCGCACAGAACATACTTCATGCCATGGCACTGCATGCCAAGCAGTGGTTCAAATGGCACATTTTAGGACACGTTATTTTACCACAATCTTTTAAAAAGGGGAAGTGGTGACCTGCAGAGCAATGATGAGGTCAAAGGTGACCTCGACAGTTTCCAGTGGAGGAAAACCTCACAGGAGTGGGTACAAACAGCCTTCTAGAGAGTTTCTGTGGCAGAGCCAGCAATGGGACACCTGGTGAGGACATGGAGTCAAGGGAAGCCCCAAGCCTGGCCACAGTACAGCTGGATGCTGGCGGAACCATGTGAGGGCCGAGGGCAGCTGCAGGCACAGTCTGAGGGGCCCCACACATTTGCTGCAGAGGGCTGGCTGCAGTGGCATAAGGCAGTCCACCCTCCTAATGGATATAGGAAGGCCAGAGGAGGCTTTCAAATAGGGGTGCATCACGGGGTTCTGACAGGCAGAGAAGTTGTGGAAACCGGACCACAGAGGCAAATGTGCACAGTGGGGATGGCCACAGCCAATTGTGACAACTTTAATTTAATTGGAGAGGCTGGGTACGGTGGCTTACGCCTGTAATCCCAGCACTTTGGGAAGACAAGGTAGGTGAATCACTTGAGGTCAGGAGTTCGAGACCAGTTTGGCTTTTCAAAAGCAAAGAAGAACCCCATCTGTATTAAAAATACAAAAATTAGCCAGGCATGGTGGTGGGCACCTGTAATCCCAGATACTCAGGAAGCTGAGGCACGAGAATCACTTGAACCTGGGAGGCGAGGTTGCAGTGAACCAAGATCACGCCACTGCATTAGAGCCTGGGCAACAGAGTGAGACTCGGTCTCAAAAACTAAAACAAAAACAAAACAAAACAAAAACTTAGCTGGGTGTGGTGTACGCCTGTAGTCCCAGCTACTTGGGAGGCTGAGGCAGGAGAATCACTTAAACCTGGGAGGCGGAGGTTGCAATCCTAACTACTTGAGAGGCTGAGGTAGGAAAATCACTTGAACCCAGGAGGCGGAGGTTGCAGTGAGCTGAGCTTGCACAACTGCATTCCAGCTTGGGAGACAGAGCAAGACTCCATCTCAAAAAAATAAATAAAATAAAATAAAGAAATAACAAATACACTGGCTAGGACAAATCTCAGCCCTTCTGTCTCACCGGCTGTATCCTGAGTGTTTGCTAGGCACACGCTACTCATGCCACCCCTCTGAACAGCACAGGTCACACAGTATTTCTGCCTTCACAGAAAGCCACACTGGTCAGTCAGACTTGCTTGGGACAATAAGGAATCATGTACATTTCTGAATGCGTCACTGAGTAGTGGACACTGGCCAGGACAGGGAACCCCCACCCCCATTACCGGCCCAAAAGTCAGATGTTCTGTCTTCACTCCTGACAGGCAAGGTGTGGACACAAACATGGCATGGCCTGCCAAAGCCCCTAACTCCAGGAATAAGCAAAGCAGTGAAGTCAGAATGTGCACGGTGGCGGTGGGGCCCCCAGCCAGCCTCCCTGCCAGTGGCCCATGCCTGAAGCCGCTTTTCCAGCGTGCCTGCAAATGCTGCCACCCACCTGACGCTTCTGCAATTGGCTGCTCGGCTGGCACGAGCTGCTATGGCAGCTGTCCTCCTGCCTGAGATATGGCTGAGCGCGAGTGGTCACACTGGGAATGGCAGAGGGAGACAGAAAACAGATATTTGAAGAGAACCTCAGCTGGGCTAGCAGTAAGGCAGGTGTGGAAGTCAGAGAGGGAGATCCTGAGTGTGGGTGGCAGGGAATGGAGGGCTGGTGCTCCTCGGGTGCACTCCACGAGGGAGGCAGGCAGGCAGTAGGAAAGGAGACAAACAGCATTTAAGAGACAGTAGAGGCTGGGTGTGGTGGCTCATGCCTGTAATCCCGGAACTTTGGGAGGCCAAGGTGGGCAGATCACAAAGTCAGGAGTTCAAGACCAGCCTGGCCAATACGGTGAAACCCTGTCTCTGCTAAAAATACAAAAATTAGCCGGGTGTGGTGGTGGGCACCAGTAATCCCAGCTACTAGGGAAGCTGAGGCAGGAGAACCAATTGAAAACTGGAAGGCGGAGGTTGCAGCGAGCCAAAATTGCGCCACTATACTCCAGCCTGGGTGAAAGAGCGAAACTCCATCTAGAAAAATAAAAATAAAAATAAGAGACGGCAGAACTTCTGCTGGAAAGCCCCGAAGGCTGAACAACGATGCAAGCTGCAGGACGGGAAAGGACAGGGCTGGGGACAAAGGTCAGGAAGTTCCACACACCTTAACCTGGCTTGCTCCTCACCACTTGGCCTCCACTTGCAGGCCCCCTGCACAGAGGACCCCTTGCCAGCCCACCCGAAGAGCTCCCCTCCACCCCGACACCCTCCCCTGCCCTGCTTTGAGTCATAGAGCTCCTCATAGCAGAACTGGGCCTTCACAGTGCCCTTCTGACACACAGGAGGCACCAACTTCACATGTCAGATAAATGAGTGGACTGAGAAGTTACCCTTAGAGAGGCGGCAGGCTTTGTCAAGAAAAGGGGAGGAATCTAGGGGCAGCAGAGGTTAAGGAGCCACAGCTGTGGGGAAGGCCAGAGTCTAGTGGCACAGGAATCAAACAGACTGAGTTTCAATAAAGGACCCACAGGGCTCACCACGGTGAGTGGCTTAACAATCCATTGTATGAGAGGAGATGGGGCGACCACTGATGGAATAAGGAGTAGCAGGACCCAAAGGAAAGGTAAAGGCATTAAGCCCCTAAAAGGGAGCCTAACAAGGTTCCTTCTAGCAAGACATCCACAGGAGAGCAAGCCTGGGCCAAGTCTCAGCCCGCCCGCAGAGCACCCACACTAACCTGCTACTCAGTGGAGGCCACTGCCAAATGGGTCAGGCATGGTGGCGGCATACATCCTTAAAGATCTGGCATTTTCAAGGTAAGAGAAAAAAAATCACAGCTAATTCTTAGAGGCCTCTGTAGCCTGAAAAAAAAAAATGTGAGCAGTTTACAGCCAGTCTCAAATGAGGACATCTCGAATGAGGATGTAGACACTCCCCAGGGTTCTGAATGGCTTAGCAGGCCACGAACCTTCTGAGCAGAGCTGACAACAAGGTGACATGGAAGGTGACACGGCAGCTGACGTAGCCGAACCCTTTACCTCTGAAACACTCTAAAGCAGTATTTGATAAAGGATGTCTGTATTTGTTTAAAGATGGAGTCGAGGCCAGCTTAGTAGCTCAAGCTTGTAATCCCAACACTTTGGGAGGCCAAGGCAAGAGGATTGCTTCAGCCCATGAGTTCAAGACTGCCTTAGGTAACAAAATAAGACCCTGTCTCTACAAAAAAAATTTTTTTTTAAGTAGAGGAGGCGAGGCGCGGTAGCTCACGCCTATAATCTATAATCCCAGCACTTTCAGAGGCTGAGGAGTGTGGATCACCAGGTCAGGAGATGGAGACCAGCCTGGCTAACACAGTGAAACCCAATCTCTACTAAACATACAAAAAATTAGCTGGGCATGGTGGCACAGGCCTGTAGTCCCAGCTATTAGGGAGGATGAGGCAGGAAAACCGCTTGAACCTGGGAGGTGGGGGTTGCAGTGAGCCGAGATTGCCCCCCTGGACTCCAGCCTGGGCAACAGAGCGAGACTCCGTCTCAAAAAAAAAAAAAAATTAGCCAGGCGTGGTGACACACACCTCTAGTCCAAGCTACTTGGGGGACTAAGTTGGGAGGATCACTTGAGCCTGGGAGGTCAAGGCTGCATTGAGCCATGACTAAACCACTGCACTCCAGCCTGGGTGACTGAGCAAGTCGTCTTTCTTACAGGGTTGCTCTGGCAGCATCTACATCACACCAATTACCTTTCAGCTGTAGGTCTGGCAGTTTCCTCCTCAAATGGGAGAGGGAAACCAGAGGCAGTGTTGCCAAGGACTTCCCAGCACCCAGGGCCAACGTGGGCTAATCTTTGTTTTTTGGTGGCAGAGTCTCATTCTGTTGCCCAGGCTGGAGTGCAGTGGCATGATCTCAGCTCACTGCCACCTCCAGCTCCCAGGTTCAAGTGATTCTCCTGCCTCAGCTTCCCAAGTAACTGGAATTACAGGCGTGTGCCACCATGCCCAGATTATTTTTGTATTTTTAGTAGAGAAAGGGTTTCGCCATGTTGGCCAGGCTGGTCTCGAACTCCTGACCTCAGGTGATCCTACCTTGGCCTCCCAAAGTGGGATTACAGGCGTGAGCCACCGCACCCTGCCAAAACTTGGGCTCCTCTTACTCATTTTTCCTTTTAATGAAAAGCACTCGCCAATGCAGTGACTTAAGCCTGTAATCCCTGAACTTTGGGAGGCTGAGAAGAGCAGATCACCAGAGGTCAGGAGTTTGAGACCAGCCAGGCCAACATGGTGAAACCCAGCCTCCACTAAAAATACAAAAATTAGCCAGGCCTGGTGGCACATGCCTGTAGTCTCACCTACTCAAGGAGAATCACTTGAACCTGGAAGTGGAGGTAGCAGTGAGCTGAGATCACGCCACTGCACTCCAGCCTGGGTGACAGAGTGAGATTGTCTCAAAAAAAAAAAAGGCACTTGTTGGGCGAGAGCTCTGACTCCATGGATCATGCATGCCAGAGGCCCAGGTAGCCCCTGAAAGAGAGGGAGGTGCCCTAGAGAGCACTTAGCTTTGTGGTCATGGGAGCCTGTCCTCACCAGCCAGGTGACACCAAATGTTACCGGACCTCTCTGAATACTACCCAAAAGCTGAGAAACAGAGGCCTCTCAGGATTCACACTACACATGGAATCAGAATTCTGGGCAGCGTGAGATCAGTTCTTTACTCACTCTTCAATTCCAATCTCTACCAGGTGTTTGCTGAAGAAAACAAACTGGTTTGAGTATGTCTCACGAGTCTTTGTTTCCAACAAGCTTTCCAGAACCTACGGAGGAAACTGAAATTTCCTGGCTGAATCTCTTCATCATCCCACCCAAAGACAGTATTCAAATTCCCTGATGTGGTAGTCTGTCCACATCCCCCTCCCACAATGGCTGAGTCCCGGACCTGGACAGTGACCTACTTCACCACCTGACCTGTGGTGTGCCCTGGCCCTGGGTCTATTTCACCCCTACTTCCTATGGTCTTTTCATAGCACCATGGAGAATAAAAGAGGACACTAAGGGCACTCTATAAATAAGGCACTATAATGGCTCTTAACCAGCAGGGGACAACAAAAAAAAAAATACTTTTTTGTTTTCCTTGAAACAGAGTCTCACTCTGTCACCAGGCTGGAGTGCAATGACACAATCTCGACTGACTGCAACCTCCGACTTCCTAGTTCTCCTGCCTCAGTCTCCCGAGTAGCTAGGATTACAGGCATAAGCCACCATGCCCAGCTATTTTTTTTTTTTTTTGAGACAACTTCTCGATCTGTTGCCAGCCTGAGGCTGGGGTGCAGCGGCACAATCTCAGCTTACTGCAACCTCCGCCTCCCAGATGCAAGTGATTCTCCTGCCTCAGCTTCCCAAGCAGCTGGGACTACAGGTGCATACCACCACGCCCAGCTAATTTTTTGTATTTTTAGTAGAGACAAGGCTTCAACAAGTTGGTGAGGATGGTCTCCATCTCTTGACCTCGTGTTCCACCCACCTCGGCCTCCCAAAGTGCTGGGATTACAGGCGTCAGCCACCACACCCTGCAGATACAAACCTTCTATAACTAGTCTCCCACTGGGGAGCCTCATGAAGTCAGCAGCTGGGATTCCCAACAAGCCCAGGGTGAAAAGTTCTGCAGGGGAGTACTGCCAGCTCAGACCCACTCTCACTGTGGTTCTATTTCCACCATTCCCTGGGATTTCCATTCACAGAGCTCCCTGATATTGGACACTAGAAGGGCAAACACAGTGTCACCTGCCACTATTACTCAATTTTGATGACCACGGTGATAATCTGGCAGTAAACTGGCTGTGGCCAAAGGCTGGAGAGCCAGTACCTAATTCCAGCAAGCTCCTCCTTCCCGTGTCCCCATGACTGTTGCTGACCACACCTTGGACTTCAATCTACAAGCCAATCAATTCTTTCCAGGTGATAAAGACACGACTGACAATACTCTCAACTGGAGAGAAGCGCCGTCTTCCACCCTCCGTGGATGGCACGGTGCTACCCTATTAGCGCATTAGAGGGCCCTCCTGAACGCCAAACTGGGAGAAGAGGATGACACACATCCTCTCTTCCAAACAGAAAGCGAAGACAAAACCTGGGAAAAGGGAAGGCAAACAGTCCTGTTTCATGGTAACGACAAATGAGAATAAATCAACGACCTTGACCCGGGGTTTGAACCCAGGTCAAAGTCCTCATCCCTACAGACTTGGTTAATGGGCGTGCCCCCAACCTATCTACAAATCTCAGGGTCTCGGCGACGCCCTGCACTCTGACCCTAAACCCTCCCCCATTACTCGTCCACCCGGGACCAACGCAAACTCGGTCATGCCCCTCCGCCAACCTCTCAGGCCCCCGCCCACCAGCTCCCCAATCCAGACCTGCGGGACATCTGCACCAGGCAGCCGGGGTCCTACTCCGCGTCCCAGCCCCGCCCCTGACTGCGCCGTGGAGGTGGTCGCTGCAGGTCCCGGACTCGCGGGATCACAGGCAGGCTCCCGAGCCCACGGCAGGGATGCCAGCCGGGGTGCCGAGGCTCTCAGCCCCGGCTCGGGCTCGCAGGGGAGCTGGCAGAACCAGGAACGGCTACACTCACCCGTGGTCCCTCAGCCCCGCGGAGACCCAGGCGCGTGACTCTCCGGGCCGTACCACCGCCTAGCTCTGAGGTGGGGGCTCGGGAGCCGTTAGAGTTAGTCCTGCACCGCGAAGCGAGCCAGACCTCGCCAGCTCCCGCACGCTCAGGAACACATCCCGAGTGTTGCCACTCCGAGGTCTGACAAGGAAGCAAGGGCCCTGCCCGACAACCACCTTTCCCGCCGACCCTATTCCGGTGCCCCTCTCCGAGAAGTTCCGAATGGTTCAGACCGCACCGGGCAGGGCTGCTCAGGGGAAACCATTTCATTAAATGTGGGGGGATGCTGAAACTTAAAAACCATTTCCAAAAGAGATTTGAGGGTAAATATAAAGCTCCCTGTCCACACAGAAGAGAAAAATAGAGACAAAACGTTATAAGAGATTGTCGGGTTCTCTTTTTGTGCTTCACCAATGTTTTGTATTAAATTGCTGATGGAACCTGTCCTCTCCCTACGTTGAGGGTGTGGAAGATGCGGGCGACGGCCGTGACGTGAAGCGGGGAAGGCTAGGCCGCGGGGGAGGTTGGTTCCGGAAGTCGGGACCGGTGTGGGTGCGCGCCTGTGTGGGATTCGTTATTTCTCCCTCCGTGCATCTCCAACTTTTTTAAAAATATGAAAATCAGTTATTGAATACTTTTTTTTTTTTTTTTTGAGACGAAGTCTCGCTCTGTCGCCAGGCTGGAGTGCAATGGCGCGATCTCGGCTCACCGCAACCCCCGCCTCCTGGCTTCAAGCTATTCTGCCTCAGTCTCCCAAGTAGTTGGGACTACAGGCACCCGCCACTACACCCGGCTAATTTTTGTATTTTTAGTAGAGGCGGGGTTTCACCATGTTGGCCAGGCCGGTCTCGAACTCCCTACCTCAGGCGATCTGCCTGCCTCGGCCTCCCAAAGTGTTGGGATTAAAGGCGTGAGCCACCGCGCCCAGCTGAATAACATTTTTTTTTTTTTTTTTTTTTTTTTGGAAATGGAGTTTCGCACTTGTTGCCCAGGCTGGAGTGCACTGATGCAATGTCGGCTCACTGCAGTCTCCACCTCCCGGGTTCAAGCGTTTCTTCTGCCTCAACCTCCCGAGTAGCTGGGATTACAGGTGCGTGCCACCACAACCAGCTAATTTTTTGTTTTTTTTTTGGTAGATAGGGGTTTCGCTGTGTTGATGGGTTTTCGCCAGGCTGGTCTTGAACTCCTGGCCCCAGGTGATCCACCTTCCTTGGCCTCCCAACGTGCTGGGATTACAGGAGTGACGCACAGCGTCCGGCCTGAATAATATTTTAAAAAATGTAAGCATCCATTACTCAAGTTTAGCTACTTAAAAGTTAATTATGGACTGAGTGCGGTGGCTCACGCCTTTAATCCCAGCACTTTGGGAGGCCGAGGTAAGCAGATCACCTGAGGTCAGCAGTTCGAGACCAGCCTGGCCAGCCTGGTGAAACCCCCGTCTCTACTAAAAATACAAAAAAATTAACCAGGTATGGTGGTGGATGCCTGTAACCCCAGCTACTCCGGAGGCTGAGGCAGGAGAATCACTTGAACCCAGGAGATGGAGGTTGCAGTGAGCCGAGATCGCGCCACTGCACTCCAGCCTGGGCGACAGAGCAAGACTCCGTCTCCAAAAAAAAATTTAATTGTAAAGCCATTAATTTGTGATGTAGTGTGGATCCTTCCAGTGAAGCCCTGAGAGATGGGAATCACGGCCGGGCGGTGGCTCATGCCTATAATCCCAGCACTTTGGGAGGCCGAGGCGGGTGGATCACGAGATCAGGAGATCAAGACCATCCTGGTCAACATGGTGAAACCCCGTCTCTACTAAAAATACAAAAAATTAGCTGGGCATGGTGGCGCGTGCCTGTAATCCCAGCTACTCAGGAGGCTGAGGCAGGAGAATTGCCTGAACCCAGGAGGCGGAGGTTGCGGTTAGCGGAGATCGCGCCATTGCACTCCAGCCTGGGTAACGAGAGCGAAACTCCGTCTCAAAAAAAAAATTACAGAATTTAGCTGGGCATGGTGGCGCGTGCCTGTAGTCCCAGCTACTCAGGAGGCTGAGGCAGGAGAATTGTTTGAACCCAGGAGGCGGAGGTTGTGATGAGCCGAGATTGTGCCATTGCACTCCAGCCTGGGTAACGGGGTAACGAGCGAAACTCCGTCTCAAAAAAGAAAAAGATGGGAATCACAGCCCAACCGGCTTGGGCGCGCTGCACACCCCCCCCCCCCCCGCCCCCCTTCCCCGCGAGGCTATGGTTCCCGCAGGGTCCAGAATATACTCCTCAGGAATAGAAAAAAGTGGGTGGTTGTGTTTTTGAAATCACAGAGGTGAAACCACAGTGGGTGGTTGTGTTTTTGAAATCCATGATGTTTTGAAAAAGGGACACGAGAAAAGAACGAAATTGCAGTTTGTGTTTTCTGCCATCTTCTAGTGGTTTGGTAAAGATTAAGGAATACGGGGTGGCATTATGAGATTAGGCATTGCCTTTACGTGTTTAATTATTCTTATCAAGCCAATTCTTCCTGCTGTTGGACAGCGCAAACTTAAGATAGTAAGTTACAGGGTGATTTTTTTTTTTTTTTTTTTTTTTTGAGACAGAGTCTTGCTCTGTTGCCCAGGCTGGAGTGCAGTGGTGAGATCTCTGCTCACTGCAACCTCCTCCTCCCAGGTTCAAGTCATTCTCCTGCCTCAGCCTCCAGAGTAGCTGGGATTACAGGCACCTGCCACTATGCACAGCTAATTTTTGTATTATTTGTAGACATGGGGTTTCACCATGTTGGTCAGGCTGGTCTCGAACTCTTGACCTCAGGTGATCCACCTGCCTCTGCCTCCCAAAGTGCTGGAATTACAGGCGTGAGCCCGGCCTTACAGCGTAATTTTTTAAAACTTATTTTTATTATTACTTTGAGGGTCTTCTGTTGCCTAGTCTGGAGTGCAGTGGCACAATCTCCCATGCTCAAGCGATCCTTCCACCTCTGCCTCCTAGGTAGCTGGGATTACAGTCGGGCCCTGCCATGCCTGGATAATTTTTTTTTTTTTTTTTTGGTAGGGACAGGATCTCACCATGTTGTCCAGGCTGAACTCAAGCGATCTGCCTGCCTTGGCCTCCCAAAGTGCTAGGATTATAGGCATGAACCACCATGCCCTGCCACAAGGCAATTTCTGAAGCAAAAACCCCACAAGGGTATACTGATTTGGAACGCTCACCATGAACAGTGCAGACACAAATCTTATTCAGTTCACAAGATGCTTTGAGAGCCTTCATGAAAAGGGGCAAGAAATGTTTGCAGCCACCTTGTCTCTGTGTTTAACAATTTTTCTAAAAGAAAACATTTCCAGCATTTGTCAAAGTGCAAAGGATTCACACCGAAAATGGCTGCATCTACACTTCTGAATACAAATTTGATTAACTGATTTCCACACTAACAAGCAAAGAACTTACAAAACTTCCCACAAGTTTCAATTAGTGACCATAGCTGTTTTTATTTAACAAAATGAATGTCTTTTTTAAAAAAATAGTTGTATATTCTATTGGGAAGACAGAAGTTTTTTCTTTTTCTGGTTTATTTTGTAATCCTGTATTTGCCCATTTTCTCTTAGTAGTTAGTGTTCTGGAAACATTAATATTTGTTAATGAGGATTTAAGTCAAGCACAAGGTTTTTTTCACTTTGTAACTTGAATTCCAGGAATTACCTTTTTCAGTTAGTGGAGGTCACCACCTTGCTCAGATTATCCTTATTCCCATGGTGATAGGCTAATGGAGGAAGGTTATTCAACCACTGCATTTCCAGTAAAAGCCAATGTGCATGCACCACATTCACCACAGCTGGGCTCAATTTAGACCGTAAACATCTTTCCCAGCACCACTGGCTTCTGCCACCTACGTCTTTTGGTACCACTTTCTCAAACCTATAAATCTTTTAAAAAATTAACTACTGCCAAATCTTTGCCCCCAGTGAATTGTACCAAAGGTTAATTAAATTGGGCTCTCATGGGGTATAAACTTTCAAGGACATGCAACAAAAGAGACATCTTAGAAGTTGGAAAATGTGCCCATTCTCATGGGAATGACAATTGAAACTCAGCAGTAACATTCAGAAAGCACAGATGTCAATAACATCCAACAATTCACAACCAAATGGTATGCAGTGTTAATTTCAGCTTCTATCCCATAATGGAAATTGTATGAAATGATTCCAGAAGCTCTGGACATGCTACTGCCTGGCACTCATAGAATCCAGAACATGTTTTTTCCACCACTGAAATATGCAAAATCAGAATTAATATATATATTTTTTAAGCCAGTCAAATTTAGCAGTCGGGGGTTGTATACCAACTTTACTGACACTAATGTTAATAAGTTCTGATAACCCACTACCATCAGACCAGCCAGAATTAAGATTTCTTGATGCTTTTCTGCCTTACGACTACTAAACCAAGAGACTTCATTACAGCTGAGTATCCAAATTGATAAATCACTTCCAAGCTGTCAGTTGCCAGGACCATATAGCCAAGTGGTAGGGAAAAGTCACATCTCATTCAATTTCTGAATGAGTTTTTATATGTACCCTTAGCCACAAGGGCTCTGATGTAGCTGGAGGATACAGCTGGGCTTTTCTCTTTCAGTCAAAACACGTGTCAATGACTGTTAGTTTTCAGTTTCAAGAAGAAATGGTGTATTTCATTTGTATTTCATTTAACATTTTAAATCACATCTCATTATTTTAAAGTTACTATAATTGATTCCCTGTTATAAAAATAATTAATGATCTAAACTTTTGTTTTTTCCAGCAACTGAGAAAACATTCCCTGTTTTTAGATGTTTTGAACAGTTTAGGAGTCTGGCCAGCTGCTGAAATGAAGAGGGAAATTAAATAATATCAATAGTAGTCTGTAATTGCTGCATAATAAAGTTTACTGTGTTGTGTTCAATATAAAACCTGACCCCCAGCTCTGCTTGAAATTAACGAACTCCCTGTAAAACCTACCTTATCTATTCTCCGCACATTCTCAGTAAAGTCCCCAGGCATCTCAAGACTCCTGTTTTTCTTGCAGACCAGCTGCAAGGTCACAGGGCAAGATAACACGCAAATAATGTGCAACATGTTTCTCAAAATGCTATTTTCGGCCGGACGCGGTGGCTCACTCCTATAATCCCAGCTCTTTGGGAGGCCGAGGCAGGTGGATCACGAGGTCAAGAGATGGAAACCATCCTGGCCAACATGGTGAAACCGTG